CCCCCCCCCCCCCACCGGATTACAGAACAGAAGGCTGAATCCATGTTGCCGTGAAAATAGAAAACATTCTCAGGAACCCGGGAAGTTCCTTGGCTCCCAGACCCCAACGCTGCACAACCTCCCAAAACTGAGTATAGCGTGGAAACCATCCCGGGTACGTCGGGAAATCCCTTCCCCCGGCCTATGTGGTCTCCAGCAGCTGTGAATGGCGTGTGTGTATCCGTGTAAATAAGCCGTCGCTGCAGTTGGCTTCGCGCATCCTTCCGGTTCCGCAAGAGGCTTAAAGGATCTAAATAGCACGGAAGACCAAGTCTTTCTCAGCCTCATACTTCAAATAACTGAAGGGACCACAGGATTCATTTCACAGAGTGGTCGTAGCAAACAACGTCAATTTTACTTGTGTTCCAGGTGTTTTCTATGCGTGCATGAGTGTGTGCTACACATATTCTATACTATTTGGAGCTTACTGTGCCTCATACGTGTATGTGTATACATATATATGTATGTATACATGATGTATTCCCAGACATGTGTGTATCTATGTACATATATAATATATAGGAATGGCACAGATTGAATTACATGTTTTTTCTGAGTCTATCCTGAATTAAAGAACGATCTAAATGGGATAGAAAGGAAAGGCACAAAGTATATTCAAAGTATTTCCTACACAGGGACAGTATATTTATTTTAGTGTTGTCAGATTTAGCAAAAACAAAAAATTAAGTAGAAAAAAATTACTTACATTTCAATTTTAGATAAACAAAGAATAATGTTTTAGTATAAATACGTCCCATACAATAATAATGCAGTATTAAGTGCCTATTTTCTATTGAAGATGAGGAGAAGGCCACTGTTGTAACCTCCTCCCTCCTCTTCATCACCTCTAAAATGTATTCCTTATTTTGTAAAGCTTTTTACTTGGTGTTTGAGAATGGGTGGCAGGCCACCCCTGATATCCTGAAGCTGGCACAGTACTCAGGTAGGCCATGTTCTTCTGTTGGACATAAACTCACAAAACATCAACCTAAGATAAGGTCACTAGGAGGCTAATGAAATGAGGCAAAACAAGACCAATTCATACTTTTGTCCAAGCACAGACCAAAAAAAAGGTATTACACCATCCAGAAAACAACAATTTACCCCCTCCCTTGGCCAAAGTGGGTGACTGCTACTTAACCAATTGCAGCTTTATTTTTGCTAGTCTGCCAGCCCTATAGATAAGATTTACTGAGATGTTCAGTCATACTATTGCTCTTGCTTTCTGACAGCATCTGATTTAGAGTGAACTCCTGCTTCCTTAGACCCTCCCCTAAGTCGACAAATACTGTTACAGGTTCTTTCTAACATCCCCTTACTGAAATACCCAACAGTTCCCAATGGTGTGCCTTCTTCCTCTCTGCAAATGATATCAAACCCAACTTGTTAACTATGGGTATGTTCCTGGTGGTCTTTGGTTGAAAGGCATTGACATGTTCCATTGCCTAGAATGCTATTCCCCAGATATTTGCATGGCTCTTTTCCTTAGTTCATTCCATTCTTTGCTCATACATCATCTTTTCAGAGAGGTCATCCCTGACCACACTATTTACAATAGCACCCTCATCATTCTCTATCACTTTATGCTGTTTACTTTTCTTCATAGTACTCATTACTATGTGATACTACATTATATATTTAGATAATATATACACATGTTTATTGTATGCTTTTCCCATTAGACTCTAAGTTTCCTGAAGACTGGGACTTCATCTTGATGATCACTGCATCCACAGTGACTAGACATTGCCTGGCACAGAATAGGTACATGATAAGTATTTAATGAACAAATGAATGAATGGATTTTTATTGTGTCAGGGTTTATAATAGTTCCATTCTGTCACATATTCATATACTCAACCTTGTGTTTCATCTTAGTCCTCCACTTAAATAGATTGGCTCACTGTAAAATATCCATTATTCTTTATTTTGACTCATTTCTTATTTGATTTGATTTCATGCTGCCGAGTTATTTTTCATAAAGGACCCATGGATGGTATATTCCCTCAATTTTTTTCATATTTGAAATAAGCTACCTGTTGGGGTTTTTTGGTAGATTGTATTATTGTTAGCAATTATCCTTTCCCTCTTTCCCAGTAGGAGGGTTATATATCCCTATCCAACTGACTTGGAAGGTATTAAGAAGAAAAGGAGAATCAGCACTAACAGACATGCACTTAAAGAGAGAATTGGAATTAAGGAGAAAAGGGGATAGTGATGAAAAATAAACATGTTTAGCACCTATTGGGTACCAGAAACTCATTCATTCAACATTAAGTAACCATATCTATCTACCAATTATTGTGTCAAAGCAGGCTGCACAAGTAGGTTAGTGCTTGGGTTGTGTCTTTCTGGAACACGAGGCACTTGCCAAACAACAGGAGAGGCAAAGTGTGGATACAAAAGGAAGGGTTATCCCAGGCTCAGGATTCCAGGCACAGATACGGAAGCAATAAATGATGTGTCATATTTTGGAAACTAAAAGTAGTTTGACACTACACGTAGTTAATTCATTTAATCCTCAAAACAACTCTATGGGAAAATGTTACTATCCCTGTTTCACAGATGAAGACTCAGACTCAAGGTCACACAACTATTAGGTGGCAGTACTAGGATTTTAATCCACTCACATCTGCTCTTCAAGTCTTTTTTTACACTATACCTTATTTGTACTTGTACTTCTTACACTTGTGTAGTGACCTTACTAAGTCTGTGAAGCTAAATGTAATTCAGGGGAAGGGCTCTAGGACTGAATGAATGTCATTTTAAAATCTTTTATCATCAATTAATATGTATAAGTACCCACAAAATTATTGGCATTTTAACACAGAAGACTTTGCTGCCCTAATAGAATTCATAATCAAGTTGAAACAAGGCCAGCAAACACTAACACCTAACTGATTCCATTATAAACCAATCAAAAACCTTTCTAGAATGTGAAAGCTCCAACTGATAGCTCCAAATCCTTTGTTTTTAATCCACTGCATACTTCACTACTTTATTTTCCTTGACCCCCTTATCAGCGTTTGACACCATTCCTTGAACCACTCACTTCCTTTGGCTTCATTCATTCAGCAGATGTGTATCAACTCCTTTTGATATAGGTTCTTCTCCTTAAAATCTCCTGGGCTGTTTGAAGTAGGGTTAAACCTGCAGATAAAAGGAAAGTGAAAGGTGGAAACACTTGTTGAGAAACAAAAAATTAATGAAACTTTCCAATGATCTTGTCCCAAAGGCAATTTTTAAGGCCATTCAAGTTTCCTGGTCTGCTCTTCTTTCCTACTGAGAACTTAACTTAAAAAAAAATTCCCTTCCTGATCACTGGATCCCCTTTAATTATAGGTAGCTTTCACATTCTTTTTTGCTGGGCTAGTGAGTGAGGGACATGACCAGAAGGGAAGAGGTTTCCTGTGCTTTGAATTAACAGGTTTTCATCATACCTCAGTTGAGGCTCCACATTTTTAAAGCCCTTTCAAGAAGGGACAAAGGCTAAGCAATTCTTTTGGCGGCCTTGGTGCTGTTGGTGCAAAAGAAATTGTATTGTGTCTTCCAGTTTATTGAGAGATGACCAACAAACATTTGATATGATGAGTGGCAGCTACATTGTGATCTGCATTTCAAAGATATGTCTATGTTAGTTTTAGTTAACTAAGCCACTGAAAGACAGAGACCCTAAACTTTTAAGATGCACTTTGTCATATTTCCTTAAATTTTTTTTTGCTACTAAATTTTGGAGAAGGGTGACTCAGAAAAATGGTCACTAATTGGCTAAGTAGTTTTGTTAAGTGCTCAGTTGCCAGGAAAATACTACCATCTGATCTCCTTTAGTTTCTTTTATAACCATGCACTCCTACTTCCCATGAAATGCTTTCTATTAAACAATGAGACTGTCATAATTTTAAGTCCTAATCAAAAACCAATAATGCAGTAATGCCCACATAGTTTGTTTTCCCACAATAAAAAATCTTGGAGAAATGCCTAAGGAATTTCATGTGAATTTATTTCTGTGTGAAAATGCAACTGTATTACACCACTTTGGTGTTTTACTATGTGGTTTTACTTTTCTGAGGAGAATGTACAATAATTAGGGATAGATAGATGATGACTTCCTTGTCTGATTTCATGTTAAGGAAAATTAATTAGATCTGTTTTCATTCTGGAATAGCCTGATGGACATTTTCTCCAAGATTTTTGTAGGTAGGAGGCACAGGGATTTTGACTAAATCGGTGTAAATTCAAGTTTTTGGAAACTGATGCAATATTATCCTATACATAATTTTTTAAAAGAAAATGAAGGTAGTGAATGGCCTTATTTGTTGAAGAAAAAAGCTATTGTTTTGGCTGTTTAGTTGACTCTGATCAATAACCAGCCTAAAGGAAATAAATATTTTGCTTTCAAAATACCCATTTGGTTGCTTCATTCATCATGGTAGTCAGTCAGAAGTGTATTACCAGAGGATTTCAAAAAATTACCACAACTCATTTGTTTATTCATTCATTAAACAATTACTGAACACCTTCTGTGTGTCAGACACGAAAGCCCTTTAAGGAGGAAATGCTATGTAAATAAAAGTCATAGACTAACAGTGCAAGTCTTAGTATCCATCTTTCAAGATAGAGCTCAAATAGAAACATTCGGTTTGCTATTCCCTTCTCTGTGTCCTACATCTTGTACAAATATTGTCCATGCGTGTGTACCTACCTACTGAGCTCTGAAAAGGTAAAGAGACCTAGGCTTATTCATTTTTGTATTCCATAGAACCTAACACAGATTTGGTACAGATGAAACAGGTGGTCAGCAAACGATAATTGAAATGAAGGAAATAACATAGTATTTATATTACGTATATATATTCTATATAACATTTAGTATTCAGCTGAAAAGATAGTACTTGTTGAAACACTAGATTTATCTCTGAAAAATAGTTGATTGTAGTGTAGCTGTTACCTTGTTTTCCTAGAAGTTTCTATTGCGTTTACTCAGATTGTATTTCCAGGTGGCTATCATCTTAGCAGGCGACTGGCGCAGTTTCAAACTTGCAAAAGAAATGGAAACCCATAGAGGCCCTACCAGTTTTTATGCCCTAGAAGCTTGCGCTGAATTTAGACGAGGCGACTAGCTTCCCTTCGAACCCCGCCGCTCCTGGCTATATTATCCCACCTTTCCCTTTCTTTTTTCCCACCCTTTCGCCCTCCGGAAAGGGCGGAGCACTCCAGAGCTTCCCAGTCTTCCTCCGCCCCCTGCGGAAGCGGTCGAAGCCGAGTGGGGCGCCGAAGCGGGGCCGCGTAGCGCTCGCGCGCTTCCGGAAAGACCCGAACAGCGCTCGGAAGAGGAGGGCGCCTTGGACTTCAGAGCTTCGCCCCCGCGCTGTGCCCTCTGTCGGCGGCGTGGGGCAGCGGTAGCAGCGGTGGCGGCAGCCGCGTCGACGTCGACCAAGACTGGAGCGACGTTTAAAGAAGGAGCCGAGTCGCCGTGGAGTCCGGCTGCTTGTTGTTGGAGGACGCCCACCCTTCTGCGGGGCCCGACGACGAGCGGCGGCGGCACCGGGAAGCAGGTGAGGAGCCGGGTGGGAGCCGGGAGGGGGCGAGGGAGCGCGCCTCCTTCCTCGGTCCCTGGGCCGCGCCTGCGTTTGCATTCTCCTCACTTGAACCAGGAAGCGGCGGAGTCGGCGGCTCCGCTCCTCCGGCCCTTTCTTTGTGTGGGCCCGGGAGCGAAGGAGGGGACGGACCGGGAGGGCCGCGGCGCGGTCCCCTTCGCCGTCAGGGGCCGAGGGGCTGCCGCTGCCCTGGGTAGGCCCGGAGCGTGGGGAGCCCACCACAGAGACCCACTTGGCTTTTCCCTCGTCCCCCCGCCTTTATTTTTGCGCCTCTTTTTCTTCTAGCCCGTACTTTGATTTAGAGCTTTTCTGCCGGGCGCACCCGCCCCTTGCGTCCCCTTCCCGGGGCATAACAATGCCGCCTGCTTGGCCTTATCCCCTCCCAGCACCCCACCCTCCTCTCCGCCACCTTTTACTTTCCGTGGCTCACCGTGTTAACGCCCGCCCTCACCGTGCTGTTCGTACCTCCATCAGTATTGGCAAGAAGCGGCCTTTTCGCATGGATTGGGATTAAAAACCTTGGTTGCGGCCGGCTGGGTGTAAATGGGAAAGAGGGGGTGGAGGCAGGAAGATGGGGTTCAGCTGCCGCAGGGAGCCGCGTGTTGGTTTGTTTCACTCCCTCGCGAATGGCGTTTCTCTCTTTTCTACCTTCACCTGCCCTCCTCAGTCAAGGATTTGTCTCACAATATCGCGGAATGGCTTTTCCACGGTCAGGTCGCAGATCGTGCAGTGGGTGATTCTGACTGATTTGTGCTGTTCTGGGCCCATCCTAACGGGGAGAAGGAAACCCAAACAACATGAAACCAAGTCCTGGTATCACCTGGACACATACATTTAATGCATTCCCTGTTGGAAAAAGCCATTTGCAAACGACAAAAATTGTGGAACTGTATTCAGAAAACTCGTTTGTCCACTTTTAAGTGACTTCTGTCGAAATCCCCATATTCCAGAAGCCCTGGTTGCTGGCTTGCTGTCCAAAGGTCACCCCCTTTCTGATGAATACCTTTATGGTAACCTGGAATTCCTTGGTACTGTTAAGGAGCAAGGCCATGTATCAGATGATGTTTTAAAGCCTTGATTTCTAGACTTTAAGTCTTTCTATTTTTAAGGTATAATTTTGAAAAATTTAGGAAATATTTAAGATGCCCTTCCTTCCACGTGTATATAACTTAAGCACTGTAATCAACAGTCGTACTATATTGGTAACTTTAAAGGGAAAGAATATTAGCTAGAACAATGTTTCTTTACTAAAATTCCTTATCAGCTGATTGTTATTACACACACGTTTTGTTTTTTAACAAAAAACTGGAATTATCTTCTGCAAAGTGCAAAAAAAATGTGTTTTAGGATGGTACACAGCTATACTATTAACTGCTCCCTTTTTCGAGTGATGTCTGCTCTCTTCCAATAAGTTTGTTTTCATTTTCACTAACACATTTGGTGTAAAAAAGTTCTCATACCAATGCACATAATTCTTTACCAACACAATGAAATGTTTTATGTTTTTGTGCAAATAAGCATTAAGAAATGATAAGCTTTCCTTTTCATTTGTCTTATTTTTTTACAATAGCATCTGTTGACTTCAGTTGGCACTCTGTTTAATATTCCACCTCTGGAGATTGCAAGGGTAGAGAGGTGAGGGGAAGGAGCAAGGGAATAAAGAAAGAGGAGAAGGTAAGAAAGGTCTTTCATAGTTTATCTAGGTGAGGCACCCCAATTTAAATAAAAACAAAAATAATGGGAAATTTAGAGGTAATAATTGTCAGCGTTTATAAATATCGATTCAGTTACTGGCTGCAGGGAGTACCTTTTGAATATGTTCTTAAAAATAAGTTAAAATTTAGAGTATATATTTTGGACAGTTGCACACACCAAGCTTTTCTGATTTAAATCCTTTTTTGTTCATTTTGTTTTGTTTTTTAAAATCATTCTTTTACAGGTGAATAACTTTTATATGTTCATGATGAAGACTTTTCTTAAAGTTTTAAGGCAGTTAAAAATTAACTCTTAACTCTTTTTGAGGAGAAAACCCAAAATTGGAACAATGAAAATTAATTCTAATATTTCAAAATTGCCTAGTAGTGATGCATGTATCTGAGGTTCATAGGAAGAGATTACTGTTCAAATCTATAGGTCAGTTTACACCTTGCTTGTCTCTTCTTAGGGGGAAGTCATGAAATTTGACACATGGTCCAAAAACCAGCCTGTATGAACAATTTATATAAGAGCCAAAAAGTTATGCCAAACTTTGGTTAAAACTGAATAAACTATTTATTTAATGGTGTGATAGTTTAAATTCTGAATGATAAAGTACTTTTGTTTTTCTTTCCTAATCTTCTCCCATCACCTTCTCCTCCCTTTCTCTAATAGGCATGGAGAATAGAAAACTGATTTCTGCTACAGACATTCAATACTCTGGCAGTCTGCTGAACTCCTTGAATGAGCAACGTGGCCATGGACTCTTCTGTGATGTTACCGTTATTGTGGAAGACCGAAAATTCCGGGCCCACAGGAATATTCTTTCAGCTTCTAGTACTTACTTCCATCAACTCTTCTCAGTTGCCGGGCAAGTTGTTGAACTGAGCTTTGTAAGAGCAGAGATCTTTGCAGAAATTCTCAATTATATATACAGTTCTAAAATTGTTCGTGTTAGATCAGATTTACTTGATGAGTTAATTAAATCAGGACAGTTATTAGGAGTTAAATTTATAGCAGAGCTTGGTGTCCCATTGTCACAGGTTAAAAGCATCTCAGGTACAGCTCAGGATGGTAATGCAGAAACCTTATCTCCCAGTTCTAATGACAAGAACCTTGAAATACAAAAATCAAAAGATGAAGCCCAAGATAATGGGGCCACTATAATGCCTATTATAACAGAGTCTTTTTCCTTATCTGCTGAAGATTATGAAACAAAAAAGATCATAGTTACCGATTCAGATGATGATGACGATGACGTCATTTTCTGCTCTGAGATTCTGCCTGCAAAGGAGACTTTGCCAAGTACCAATGCAGTGGCCCAGGTCCAGCCGAATCCAGGCTCTGTTGCTATTTCAGATGTTGCACCTTGTGCTAGTAATAACTCTCCCCCTTTAACAAATATAACACCTACTCAGAAACTTCCTACTTCTGTGAATCAGTCAACTCTGAGCCAAACACAAGGAAGTGAAAAGTTGCTTGTATCTTCGGCCCCAGCACATCTGACTCCCAACATTATTTTGTTAAATCAGACACCACTTACTACACCACCAAATGTCAGTTCTTCACTTCCAAATCACATGCCTCCTTCAATCAATTTACTTGTGCAGACTCAGCAGCCACCAAACAGTGCTGTTTTACCAGGAAACAAGGCCAATGAAGAGGAGGAGGAGGAAATTATAGATGATGATGATGACACTATTAGCTCGAGTCCAGATTCGGCGGTCAGTAACACATCTTTGGTCCCACAGGCTGATATCCCCCCAAATACCACTTTTGATGGATCATTGACACAGAAGATGCAGATTCCTACACTTCTGCAAGAGCCACTTTCCAATTCTTTAAAAATTTCAGATGTAATTACTAGGAACACTAATGATCCAGGTGTAGGATCAAAACATCTAACAGAGGGTCAGAAGATCATTACTTTAGATACAGCTACTGAAATTGAAGGCTTGTCAACAGGTTGCAAGGTTTATGCAAATATCGGTGAAGATACGTATGACATAGTGATCCCTGTCAAAGATGATCCTGATGAAGGGGAGGCCAGACTTGAGAATGAGACGCCCAAAACTTCTAGCAGTGAGACGGCAAACAAACGTATGAAAGTAAAACATGATGATCACTATGAATTAATAGTAGATGGAAGGGTCTATTATATCTGTATTGTGTGCAAAAGGTCGTATGTCTGCCTGACAAGCTTGCGGAGACACTTTAACATTCATTCTTGGGAAAAGAAGTATCCTTGCCGTTACTGTGAAAAGGTATTTCCTCTTGCAGAATATCGCACAAAGCATGAAATTCATCACACAGGGGAGCGAAGGTATCAGTGTTTGGCCTGTGGTAAATCTTTCATCAACTATCAGTTTATGTCATCACACATAAAGTCAGTTCATAGTCAAGATCCTTCTGGAGACTCAAAGCTTTATCGTTTACATCCATGCAGGTCTTTACAGATCAGACAATATACATACCTTTCTGATAGGTCAGGTACTATGCCTGTAATGAAGGATGATGGTATTGGGTATAAGGTTGATGCTGGGAAAGAACCTCCAGTAGGGACCACATCTACTCCTCAGAACAAGCCAATGACCTGGGAAGATATTTTCATTCAGCAGGAAAATGATTCGATTTTTAAACAGAATGTAACAGATGGCAGTACTGAGTTTGAATTTATAATACCAGAATCTTATTGAACTTCGTTGGAATATCAGAAAGTTTTGGGTTGGGTTAAGGGGCAGAGGTTTCATAAGACCTGTAAAGCGAATTAAGGTGAAAACAAGTTAATTTGATTTCCATGTCATCTGAAGGTAGTCTACTTGGACTAGTTGATAAATTTTAGAAGCAAATTCTGAAAGTTTGAGTAGAGATTGAGAAGTTTCTCTTCCCTCCCCTCCGCCAAGTATCTGTTTATGTAGTTATTAGCTTTCAGCTCATTTAAAATTGGTGGGGGAAAAAAAGCTTGGAGAGGTAGTTTCCTGAATAGGGTTTGAAGCAGTCTTAAGTTTTCTTTGAAAATAACTGGAGTTAGCATATCCCTAGTATATCTTACAACTCTCCCCTTCTATGTTAGCACTTTACTGCTGAATTTTCAATGTTCTTAATATTGAGACTATAAATGTGTGTTGTGTCTTATATATGGCATAAAAAGTAAGAGCTTCTAAAGTTGTTACAGAAAATTTCAGAATAAGTCTCCACTTGATTGTGTATTCTGGTAGTCCAAATGGTTATCAGCCTCCTGCCTCCCTCCCACCACAAAAGTGACCATGCAGACAAGTGTCTCATATGAAGAAAAAATTAGTTTTAGCTAATAGGAATTAAATCTTGCTTTTATAGCCGTAGTCTGAAAAAGACTGGTGGCTGGACTACTGTGTGTGTGTGTGTGTGTATGTGTGTGTGTGTGTGCATGCACACACATATATATGTATATACACACGAATACACACATACCCTTGCAGTGTGGTCTCTGTGGGCAGAAATACTAGTGGGAAACAAATTTCCATAATGCAGACAGGAGAAGATGAAAAGTTCTGTCACATTTGTTTTGAATTCTGTGCTCTTCCATAAAAGAGACAGAGTGGAAGTGAATGGGGATTTTTTGCTCATTATGGTTAGAAATACTCCCATGAAATTTTTCACATTTTGAATCTGAAAGCCACCAAATCTTTAATTATATGTAAATCTTTATAAATGATAGTTTTCATAAATGAAACTGCTACATATTTTGTGCAGGAGGCTGCTGGCATATATTTTTAAATGTTCATATTACTTAAAATCTCTGATAGGAAGTTTTCATTTGAAATAGTTGAATCAGTGATCTAGTATTTTCCCTTCAGCAAGACCTTTTCATTCCATCTGCAAATTGCTGCACTATCAATAGCAATCAGAAGCTATATATGGAATGTTTTATAGGCTTGTTGATTCCCATTTATCTTGAGAACAATAAATACCACCTTTCTTCCTTTTAAAATGACACATATTTAAATACTTAGAATAAAGTCAACTTACTGAAGTGTTAGTACTAAAAGGAAGCAGGTTGGAACAAATATATAGCCTAGCATTTATAATAGGATTGACTTGATGAACTTCTGTAAATGACTTTTTGCAAAGGAAAAAAATTAATAGATAACAAAAAGATTGTTGTGCATAGTTATTAGTCATTTGTAACCTTGCTTAAGTATTTCTTAATTCAACATAGATATTTCCTTTCTCCTTAACCATGTATTTTTGAAAATAGTCTATTTCTTGACCTTGAACTTAAAGCTTTAATCATAATTTCTCATGTATACATCATTCTTCTGAAGGTAAGCTAGATTTGAAGATAAAGATTTCAGTGTTTCTTAACTTGGTAGCTGAGGCTATCAGGCATCAGTAGTTACAATAATACCAGGGGAAAGAAAAATACTGTAATCCTTTGCTTACTGAGGACTAGAATGATGCACAACTGTTTTCTGTGAATCTAGACCTTCAAACCATTTTGTAAAGTAATCCTTGGAAGATTTTAAATTACCTTACAACTTAAGACTCTGATCTCTGGAATCACAGTATCTGTTTCCTTTCTGTGTAGGTATTGATAATATTACTCTGTGTGGTGCACTACGAAATTTTCAGTGGAAATTTGTTTGAGTTTCATTAATGCTATTTCACCAGACATAATTCATTCTACAAGTGTGAGAGACACTGATACCAGCAAAGCTGCCAGACCTTTCAGACTTAACTCATAGGTAAATTAATCTGTCATAATAAAACTTGGTAGTTTCTACAAGGCTGTTACGACAAACCAGAACTTAATTCTATAATGGGAAACTATCCATTCTGAATTAATACCAATATAATTATTTGCTGCTGCTGTGCTCTGTGTTAATCTGAGTATGAAATTTAAACTCTATGCCTACTGAAGGTATCTTGAGTTTTCTGGGAGGAGGGAAACTGGAAAGCTAAAATTGTATTTTTGCCAGAAGACTCTTACTTGCATGTATGTCAGGGTCTTCAGTTTTCTAGAAGTTTCTATACCTAAACTTTGGAATTCATGTAGAATACTCCTTTGGGGCTAAAACACTGTACTTGGAAATCTGTAGGAAGACCCTGTTTAAAACTTAAAGGCTTTTCCTGTTTTATACTTTGCTTTCTGGCTATTAAACTTCCTTTTTTTCTTTCAAGTTGGCTTTAAATTTGCTCTGTGTTAAATTACATGTAAGTATTCTGGATAGGAACGTTTGAAATAGGAATTTGTCAAACGAGGTGAAAGGTGAAAATATTCAAACTAAGCAAATATTTTAAGATATCATAGCAATCTTGTAAGAGTCAGTTAAAATATATTTTAAATGATCATTATCCTTTTGGTGGTAATGATCCCCCACATACAACTACTGAATGAGGAATTGATGCTACATTTTTTTCCATTGTACCAAAAAAACAAATGGTAAAGATGATCAAGGTATTTTGTATTGTCAAGGCATGCATAGTCTAAGGGATTACTTGCTCATTGCACAGCACTGGCTTCCTCACCTCTGTCAGTCATATGGAACCTTGTTCATTTCTACCCAATACTGTAATGTCCATACTTGTACAATCTTCCTTATCATGACTTTAAGTTCTACTTTTCTTTAACTGTTACCTGATACTAGTTCATAGAGTTTCTTATGGCAAAAATAAAAGGTTTTAATTCTGATTTTTGAGTGCATTTTTAGTGCATTTTTATAAGATTATATTTCAAAAATTATTTAGACTTTTACATTCTTTTTTTCAGTTTTTGTCATAGGAGATGAGCTGTATTTCTGATGACAGGCAGAATTTCCCGTTAGGTTTTACATGTTGGTTAATCACATCCCCATTGTATCATAAACCATAGTAGTCAAAAGAGAGTCAGTTGCTAACTTAGAGTGTTTTTAATACTTTCATAGATTCCATGAAGATGCATGTAAGTGGATAAGGAGGAGGATAGTTTTATTTGAAACATCACAAAAGCAATCTGGGTTTCCAACATGGCAGTGAGAATGGATTTTAAGCAACATCCAGTTTATACAGGTTCTGGATTAATATTTTAATGTTTCATGCCCAGTTCAATACTTCAAAGCAGAATTAGGAATAAAGCAGTAAATATTACAAAATGCAGTCAAGGTACATATTGGAAGTACAAATTCCTTCATTACAGCAAATGTTTTGCAAAAGAGTAAAGCAGCAGGTATTAATTTTTCTAAGGTAACATGCATTTTATATAATTCAATGTAATAAAAAATGAAGCTGCTCAAATTAAGTGTTACAAAAATCTATTGTTTCAAGTTATTTTGTAAAGTAAGAAAAATACGTAGAAATGAGTCATAGAATCTTAACACTTTAAGAAATGTGGTAAATGTAGGATATACCGTGTAATGGTGCCTTTTAAAAAATTAAATATTCATTGAAGCAAAAGGTAAAGTGTAAATGGCAAAAAAATTGAGTATTACAAGTTGATATTTGTATAGTACGTCAATTTGTTAGTCCCTTTTTGAAATCCAGTAGAATTTTGATATGCTCAGAACTGTAGAAAACAATAGTAATTTTAAATAATGCAAAAGGGTTATGGTTTTTCAGATTTGAAATCTGGATGAGACATCATTCATGATGCTGGAAGTTGAAAGTTTTGCAAACATTTACTGTGAACAATGAGGGCACTTGTTGTGCCTTGATAATTCTTGATGGCTGGGTGTCTACAAGGTAGATGGGAGCACCAGCATTTGCCTGCTACCTCTAATCCATCAAGTTGGGAGGTAGCAAAATTGGCTGGAAAATTTTCCAGTATGTGTTCTGTGTTTGCAGAACTATCTGATTAGGTACCCTCCTGTAGCCCTGTATTTATACATTATATAAGTGTAGGATTATCAGTCTTCCTTGAAATCAGTCAATTCTCAGGTTAACCTAAGATCGCAATGAAAGTGTTCATTCTAAAGTGAAGGCATGGGTGCCAAAGTGTTAAATTCATCAGGTGGATGGTTTAAAGCTACATATAATAAAAAGAACTGTACAAAAATACAATGTGCCAAGTGGATTTTAAATCTATGATAACACAAGAATTTTTCAAGTTGGCTACATTTGAGGTTTAGCAGACTTAAAGCGGCATTTTAACGCTTTCATAATCTTGAACACTGTCATGATTGGTCTCAACAGAAAAAATGACTAGTAAGAGCAGTGGCATTAAAATACAGATGATTCTTTTGGGGTAGGATGCAGGATCCATGCGGTTTGCTGGGGTTGAAGCACAATATTTGAAGAGTAAATAGAAAGATTAGTAACAATTCGTATCATGACCCAAGAACCTAATATAGCATTTTTGAACCTCTGAATTTTAACCGAAAGATTTGTATCTCCTGTAGCAAATGTATTTTGTAATACTGCAACATGTAGTAGAAACACTGTCCCCTAAGTTAATCTGTATAACTGAGATCGACTGAAAACCTCACATGTTGCTCTGTGTATTTCAGTGCTTCCTGAATGATTACTCATGTTCCTCACTACTTGGAATATTGCACTTTTCCCTTTGGGAGGTACCAGTAACAAAAGCTGAGCTGAATGATCACAATAGTCATTTTTACAATAGAGAGAATAAAGGAGTAAGATGTGGGCAGTGTTTTTCAACACCAGACACAAGCAAACTAAATCTTAGCCAGAACTCTCTGTATTGGAACTACTCTGTAGCTCCATCATCTCGGAAATTTTCCATAGGGACTGACAGTAGTGGTGGGGAAAGACAGGGCCTACAAGCCAGGTTCTTTTTGCCAAGGTGCTAGGGTGGCAACCTGCCAAGGGCCTGAGGACAGCACTCCGTTTACACAAAATGAAACAGATGGCAACCACAGTCCCTCTCAACACGAAGTTGGAGCCGCTGTAAGGTAGTGCAGGTCCCAACACAAGCTGCTTGCGGGGCTGGCTCTCCAGGCTCATTTAGAGAGTGTGCACTGCCCTTCTCGGAAGTGTTGCGTTCAGCCTAGCCACCCCTGCTCTGCACTGATAACGAAGAAGCTTCGTCCCTCTCTTTCCCTAGGCTGGCAGGCCGTTGTAAGACTTGACACATAAGAATCTCACTTTAAATTTTGTACCGTACACACTTCCACTAAAGCAGAAATACAAAAGCCACAATAATCTCTATAGCCAGCAGGCATTCCTCTTTAGGGGCTGTAAGGTGGCGGCTTTTCGAAAGGCGGATAGTAGGGTGGAGAGTAGCGGGGTGGTGCGCTTGAGGACCACATGTAGCTGGGCGAAGGAGAGGTAGACTGGGGCTCGTCAGAAAGTCCAGAGGGAGGGGAGGATGGAAAGACACTGGAATGCTGTGAAACGAAAATAAAGTGTCAGTTTTTGCATTGAGGTTGCAATTCCCCCAAAGCCAGTCATTAAAAATCAATATGGACCAAGTTTGTTTGTGTTTGGAAAAATAAAGAGCTCCTAAACCTCACGAAATTATGAGGGGCATAAAACTGAGGTGGCCCCACTTTCAGTCACTTGGGCTGAAAAGATCATGGAGAGAGAATCTTGAAATCTCGGATTACTCCTCCCCTTACCTTTGAAGCAGACATCCAGTCAGTTACCAGATCCTTTTGCTCCTACTGCTGTGTGTCTCTTGAATCCATCACTCCCTTTTCCATGTTTCTAACTCAAGCCTTCAATACCTCTCCCTTGAGCTGTGGCAACAGCATCGCAGTTAGTCTTCAAAAAGGTAGTTTGGACCTTAAGAACGTTTGAGGTTAGGCCCTTACTACTTGGGGGAGTCTTTGCTACAATAATATCTCATAGACAAAAACTAAGGCTGGAAAGGTTCAATGGCCTTCTTGGATCTGTGTCTTCCAACTTAAAAGTCCAATAATTTCTATTTCATCTTAACTGTACCCCCTGCTTGGGCAGGGTAGGTTAGAAGTGAGAATACCAATGATAGGAAAGGAACGAGGAGCAATTTGTCCAGTTACAAAGACACGGCGAATTCAGTTTGACTTTGGTCATTGTTGGGAAGGGAGCAGAGATGGATTTAAAAAATACCTAGTGAATTGGCATGTTGGTGGTCATGTGCACTGCTCTTTCCCTGGCCCGTGGATAGCCTTGACTCGAATGACTGTCCTGCTCCAGGAGGGTCGGCCTGTTTTGTTCACTGCTGTATCCCCCAGAGCTCAGAACCATGTTTGGTGAGTAGTAGGTACTCAAGAAATGTTGAGTGACTATATTTTTAAAATTAAAATCTATTTTCAAAGACTACGGTCATACCTTGTGGGTACAGTTGCCTTGCTCTAGCGTGGAGCGTGGCTGAGGCCTGAAGGCTGGAGTGGACTACAGGGATGGCAAGAGACAGGAGGCCAGTTTTAGGCTCTCAAGAAGCACAAACAAGCCAATGAAGGGGCCTAGAGACCTGCAGTTTTCTGTTGTATCTCAGCTCTAGGAGGAACTAGTATATTTTTTAAAAAGACCCACTTACACCAAAAATTGTCAAGAGTTTGAGTGGTATTTAGAGAGGCCATGCCTTTAGTTTGTTCTGCTCACCAGAGTCTGAGTAGATCACATCATTTTGCCAAGCCTAGAGCGATCTAGAGTCAGCTCTGGTAAGAGGTTTCTGGAACCTAAGACCAGTTGGCTGATTCTCTTTATCCCCAGTCCTGACCTCTTCACTCCTTAGGAAGGGAGGTTCAGGCTTCTAGGTCTTGCCTCAGACCCTGAAATATCTGTCCCTTACCACATAATGTTGGGACTGAGAAGTGACTGCAGCAGCCACCATTTCCCCAACTGCCCCATCCCATCCATTATTTCGCCGGGAGTGAAAGAATGACAGGGTCCTAGAATCTGAAGAGCCTTTAGAAAGACAGATTCCTTCCTAAAATCTCAATTTTTCTCCTCCCTCCAGGAACACACTCTTTCTTAAGGACATCTGTTGAGTGATTTCCTAGTTTTCCACTCTGCACGGTAGAACTCTTTGTCCTCCTTGCCCTTTCTCCTCTTCTGTTGCTTTCTTCAGCTAAGGGTGCTGTCCTCTCAACCAGAAAGGGGAGCAAAACTCCACAGGGACAAGAATCCCTGTGCCTGGGAATGCGGGACTCTGCTCCTCTACATCCCGCTACAGAATCGTGAGAGTTAGAAGGCCAGTTGTAAGTGTTCCAGCCACAGAAGGGAGGCTACAGGCACTTCTGTCTGGAGAGGCATTAAATAAATGGCTGACTTCCCCAGGCAGCAGCTGCTGTGGATGGCAGTTGTACACTTTGATAATAAGTGGGTGGTACAATGGCCTTCAGTTTTCACTTCTCAGTTTCATGTTTGGGAAGTACTAGGGGGCCAGGGATAGGCTGATTCTCACTTCCCTTTGAGGATGCTGGGTGTCGTAAGGATAAAATCGAAGGGCTCCTGCACAGCTAGGGAGCTAACTGGTTGTAGTCCACACAGCCTTGGAGTTTGGGGGCAAAAGGCCCACAGTAGCAGTGCCTAGTTTCCTAGCAACAGGCAGGGACCTTGGGAAAGACCTTGGCTTTGTTGCAGCTGGGGAACTGGCCTCGTGCACTTTGTTTCCTGCCTCAGAGTCAACTTTACTAATGGGAAAGGCAGCTCAGAAGAAGAGAATCCTTCTTTGAATCCTTGCACACCACAAAGCATGAAAAGCATCCAAATTGCCCACTGCTGGCTTCTGGAGTTGGTCCTGAGACGCTGGGGTGGCCTGCAGGCAATGGTGCTTCAAAAGGTGCGTCACCTTTTGGGATGCACGCAGCTCTCCTCTCCCACCACTGTCCCGTCTCTGCCCAGTGGCTGACCCACACTCTCCACGAACTATGTGGACTGCTGTCACAGCCGCCTGCATCTCTCCTCAGGAGCACTGAGAGGGAATGACTCAAAGGAGGCCTGTAATTGGCCAGGTGATAGAGGTTACCAGCAAAAGATACTGTGTCCCAAGGTTTGTAAAATCTAAGATCTCTGGGTTCATTGCATTCTCCCTGTTTTTGCTCCAGAAAGCAAAGGCAGGGGAGATGGAGAGAAGAGCGGACAAAAGGAAAATAAAGAAAAGTGGTGGTGGGTGGGGGTGGGGGGTCAGAAACAAGGGAAAGAAGGAGAAGAAAGGGAAATTTTTGCAGGAGAGGGGAAATAAAGAGAAAAAGTTGAGTGGCAGCAGCAACAGCCTTTTAAGGCTCTCAGCAAACCTGTGCCATACACTGCCTCTCCCAGGACTAACTCAATCCATTCACTAAATAGGCCCAATTTATAATGGGTCATTTTTAGTGGCTAAGATCAAACCTAGTGTACCCTCATGTGATTTAATAGAGAGCATTAACAGAGGTCCTTGCATTTTGCATAGGCTGAGATGTTTGTTTTTAGCCAAACCTGGCATTTCACCAAATGGACAGAAAAGGGACCAAAACACGGCTAGAGGGAAGTAGGGGGACTGTCCCAGTAGGCCAGACTGCAAAGTATGGCAGGAATTCTTAAGGCGTTCAGCTACACTGGGTTGAACTTTCCAGAAGAATAGAAACTGATGCTTTATATGCTACAGAATTTGGACTACTTGGCTGAAGCTGAAGTATGGGTCCTGGGGAATTGACTGTGAGGAGCTAGAGAAGTCAGTGTTGGGAGATTAGCAAGGAGGCTGAGGAGGTCTCAGCTTATATCTTGCCTCCTTAGGAGCAAGGACACTTAGAGTTCAGTGTCTGAAAGAGCCCTGTTTCTGCAAGCTCAGCATTCACCAGCATCCTCAGGGCCAGTTGAGCAGCCCCAAGGCCTCAGTCATGGGTCACTACAAGAAATGTTTCCTGACAAGGGCATGATGTTGAAGAGTTAAAACAAAACCCTATTAATCTCTTTCCTATTTCTTCTATCAGCCTCAGGGTAAAAAGGAAACAAGTCTTCAAACACAAACTCACATAAACAGTCCAATTAGGAAATGATTAGAATGGGAAAGTTATTCAGAAGAAAGTCTACAAAGATCAGTGTTCCCACTATAATTTGGTCCCTTTTACAACCTCAGAAGAGCAGAAGGGAACTCTTGCTTTTCTGTGGGCTGGGGAGCCAAGTCTGTGCTGCTGGTGATTTTATTGTCAGAGCTGATCTATGTTTCGCTGACTGCTTTCTGCTTATCTGGGAACATAAGCAGATGTTCCCCCGACCTCTTGGCTTTCTTGTGTTAAGACTGGTATTTCCTCCTATGAAACTCTAAGGGAATGGAAATTGGTGAACAGAAGAAAGCTCAATGCAAACACTAAAACAAAACACCATTTAACTTCTAGAAGGAAACAAATCACTTAAAAACATAACCCTTAAAACCCACACCACACAACTATAAAGTCTCCAAAAAGGAAACACCAAAGACAGCTTGAACCTAGGTAAAGAACCGGGAGAGGTACAAGAAGCATCCCTGCAGCCTCCAGAGTGGGAGCAATTAACAATGTCATAAGAGAAAGTAAAGAGACCTTTCAGAGCTATGATTAGGAGGCACATAACTGAAGTCAGTAGAAAATATAAATATCCTAAAATTAATTGGGGAAAACATCTCTGCTGTGCTCAGATTTACAGCTGCCCCAAAGAATCCCTCAAGCCCATCTCTGGACTCACACAGACCTAGACACAAATCCTTGCTCCTCTCCTTACCATCTCTGGAACTTTGGGAAGTCACTTACTTTATGACCCCATCATCTCATCTTAAAAATGGCAACAACAGGAATATTTCCCTCAAAGGACGAAATGAGATACAGGTAAAGCACTTACCACAATGTTTGGTATATAGCAAGGGCCCAATGAGTAGGAGCTATTATTACAAAGTAGAGGCTTCCACACACTCCTGAAGTCCTTGCTATCAGCACACTGTGTAGGTTTGGCTTAGGTGGCTAGACTGCAGCCCTTTGCTGGCTTAGGTACCCTGTTTCTGAGTTTCCATAGCATTCTGGGTAAGTCTATTTACTTTTCTGTCCCCACTGCTATCCCCTGACTACCCCCTGCCCAAGTCCCTAGACCGATCTCTTAATGCAGGGCCTAAGGCTCGTTCAATCTCTAGGTCCTCAGCTTCTAGCACAGTGCCTGGCACATGGAAACACAAAGGAAACATTAAATTGAAGCCAACAGCCTAGGTCACCACTGCCATTGTCAATCTTATATCCATCCCTGGGGTAGGGTTTGAATGAGGAATGATGAACAGACAGATGGCTCCATACCCAGAGAAGGGCTTCCTATCTTAGAGTTGGCAGCAACCATCACCAAGAAGATAACTGTTCCTACTTCAGGGGTTCATTATATAGTGAACATTTCTAAAATTAATATTATCAGTGTAATGTACTTTGATATTAAAAACTTGGAGGCAGCCTCTTGGGCTGGCCCCTCTGTCTCAGGATGACATTATAGGACCCCAAGAGAATGGTGACCCTTCTGTCTTATGTTCAACATCCCTGCATTCTCTTAAAGGATTCCTTTTTTGCCTCTGTCACAACTAAAACGACCTTTGCCCCTCTTGATCATACTTCTGTTTTCCAGTCTACATCACCTATTTGGATAGTAATTTCCCTAAGTTGTCTACCTGTGAATACAGTAGGCTTTAAAACAAATTCTAATATTTTTTTCTAAGCTTTCTTGGACACCTCCTTGTTCTAGTACTGTATTTTATAACAGTGAACAAGTCCATGTTAACACTGTATCTATTTTGATTGCAATACAGAGCCCTAGACCTTCCCCAACAGTATCTAAACAAAAGTACATTTTATTCAATTAAATGGGGTTTTTCAGTCTCAATTATTTTGTTAATCTGAAGCTGAAATTAGGTTGCCCAAGGGCTTTGTATTTCTAAACTGGCTGGTTAACTGCAAGCACCCCCAAACAGTCATGCGTTTATGTTACCTTGGAGCATTACTGGGCTCTTAGTCAATAGAAACAAATTCATTATGTATTTCCCTCACTTCAAAGGATTTCCTTTGGTCCCCGAATTTTGAATTAACCAGATTTTAGTGTAATCCCACTCTTTAGTGGTCAAGGGTTTATGATCATTGTAAATGCCTAAAAGACTATCTCCATTGTTTTCCTGAAGTGCCTAGGTCAATGCTCTAAACACAGCAAATCCCTCTTAAGTGCCTTTCTGGGATCTGTTTTTCTGTGCTTAATCTCAGCTCAAAAGGAAAAGGGGAAGGTGCAAATTTGGTAACCCTATTTCAAACCCATGTGATAACAACACAAAAAATCCTGTTATAAAAAGTTTTTTCTCTGTATAGTCCTAGTTAGGAAGTCTGGAGAAAAAGAAGGGACTTTTTCCTCATTACAGATTTGATTCAAATCCTTGTGTGGCTCAGAATGCCCTTGTGCTGAGGAGCAGGCCTAGGCAGAAGGGAGAAAGCCACTGTTGGACAGAGGTCCATGGTGATGTATTAATGAATACCATCTTCTTCTTGGTATAGGTCAAGGCAGTTTAGAACACCTTGATCCTATTTCATTATCTCCTCTTTTCCTCCATCTTTCTGTTTCTTCTCCTATGTCTTCCCCACCCTCTCCATCTCTCCCAACATTGCCTGCCTATGTACTCCTTAAACTAGCCTCTGGTTCCCACAGGCTGCTAAAGGCCATCTGAGATAAACAGGCTGACCACCTCATACATATTAGGAAGGTTCCATAATTAGGGTGACAGCAAGAAAACAGGAGAGGAAGGTTAATGGAGAGTTCTTTTCTCCTCAAAACATACCTGAAAGTCATAAGCAGAATATGGTGGCAGGTGAGGAGAGCTATGGTAGTAGGTATTGTAGGATGCCACTTGGGGACGGGCATAGTAAGAAACAGTTGGATGGGCATTTTCAACAGAACAGTTCAGTGCTGGAAGAGTTGGGCTCTGTAGAAAAACACAAATTGGAAACAACATAAAAGTTCACCACTAAGAGAATGGTTAAACAAACTGATACATCCATACTATGGAATACCATCCAGCTATTGATAAAACAATGATGTGGACCTATATTTAGTGACAGAGAAAGTTGTCCAGGGTATATCGTTGAATTAAAAAAAAAACAACCAGGAAAAATTTTGGAGACAATAAAAACGTCACTGGTTGCCAGGGGCTGGGGGGAAGGATGAATAGGCAGAGCACAGAAAATTTTTAGGGCAGTGAAACTACTCTGTCTAATACCATAACAATGGGTTTGTGTCTTTATACATTTGTCCAAACCCAAAGAATGTACACCACCAAGAGTGACCCTAAGATAAACTATGGACTTTGGGTGATTAAGATGTGTCAATGTCAATCATCTTTGGTAACAAATGTCCCACTCTGGTTGGGGGATGTTGACAGTGGGGGAGGCTGTGCATGTGAAGCAGCAAGGGGATACATGGGAAATCTCTGCACCCTCCTCTGAATTTTCTTGTAAATCTAAAACAGCTCTAAAAAAAAGTCTTTGAAAAAAGCCACCATTTTACTCATACAAGAACAGATTGATAGATCAATGGAACAGAACAGAGAGCCCAGATATAAACCCAAGCATATATGGTCAATTAATGTACGATAAAGGAGCCATGGATATTCAATGGGGAAATGACAGCCTCTTCAACAACTTGTGTTGGCAAAACTTGACAGATACATGCAAGTGAATGAAAATGGATTATTGTCTAACTCCATAAACAGAAGTAAACTCAAAATGGATCAAAGACCTGAATGTAAGTCATGAAACCATAAAACTGTTAGAAGAAAACAGGCAAAAATCTCTTGAGTATAAATATGAGCAACTTCTTCATGAACATATCTCCCTGGGTAAGGGGAAAAAAAAGCAAAAATGAACAAGTGGGACTACATCAAGCTAAAAAGCTTCTGTACAGCAAAGGACACCATCAATAGAACAAAAAGGCATCTTACAGTATGGGAGAATATATTTGTAAATGACATATCTGACAAGCAGTTAACATCCAAAATATATAAAAACCTCACACACCTCAACACCTAAAAAGCAAATAACCCTATTAAAAAATGGGTAGAGGATCTGAACAGACACTTCTTCAAAGACGAAATTCAAATGGCCAACAGGCACATGAAAAGATGCTCCACATCGCTAATTACCAGGGAAATGCAAATTAAAGCCACAATGAGATATCACCTCACACCAGTAAGGATGGCCAACATCCAAAAGACAAACAACAACAAATGTTGGTGAGGTTGTGGTGAAAGGGGAACCCTCCTATACTGTTGGTGGGAATGTAAATTAGTTCAACCATTGTGGAAAGCAATATGGAGGTTCCTCAAAAAATTAAAAATAGAAATACCATTTGACCTGGGAATTCCACTCCTAGGAATTTACCCAAAGAAAACAAGATCTCAAATTCAAAAGAACATATGCACCCTGTGTTTATTGCACCACTATTTACAATAGCCAAAATATGGAAGCAACCTAAGTGTCCATCAGTAGATGAACAGATAAAGAAGAAGTGGTACTTATACACAATGAACTACTATTCAGCCATAAGAAAGAAACAAATCCTACCATCTGCAACAACATGGATGGAGCTAGAGGGTATTTTGCTCAGTGAAATAAGTCAGGCAGAGAAAGACAAGTACCAGATGATTCCCTCATTTGTGGAGTATAACAACAAAGCAAAACTGAAGGAACAAAACAGCAGCAGACTCACAGACCCCAAGAAGGCCTAGCAGTTACCAAAGGGGAGGGGGGGGGCAGGTGGGGAGGGAAGGAGAAGGGGATTGAGGGGTATTATGATTGGTACACATGGTGTGTGGGGGAGTCACGGGGAAGACAGTGTAGCACAGAGAAGACAAGAAGTGACTCTGTGGCATCTTACTACACTGATGGACAGTGACCTCAATGGGGTATGGTGGGGACTTGATAATATGGGTGAATGCAGTAACCATAATGTTTTTCATGTGAAACCTTCATGAGAGTGTATATCAATGATACCTTAATAAAAAAAAGAAAAAGAAAAAGAAAAAAGCCACCATTTTACATTAATATAGCATGGTTCCAATTTATGTAAAAATAAAGACCCAAACAATTATATAAAATTGACCCTTGAACAACATGGGTTTATACTGTGTGGATCCACTTATATGCAGATTTTTTTCCATCAATATTTTGGAAACTTTGGGGGAGATTTGAGACAATTTGAAAAAACATTTTATTTTCCGTAACTTACTTTATTGTAAGAATACAGTATATAATACATACAACATACAAAATACATGTTAATTGATGGTTTACATTATCGGTAAGGCTTCCTTTCAACAGTAGGCTATTTGTGGTTAAGTTTTTGGGGCGTCAAAAATTTTTCAAGGATTTTTGAGCATGCAGGAGGCCAACTGTATGTTTGCACATATGTAAATGAAATTAATCTGAAAAGATTTACAACAAACTGTTAACTGTGGTTGTCTCTGGGGAGGGGAGTAATATTACTGGGAAGTTCAGTGGGGACTCTTCACTTTCTATGATACAGCCAGAGTTTTTATGATATGTATTACTTGTGTCATTTCTCCCAAACATATTATTTTGAAAAATTCAAACCTATAGAGAGTTTGAAGTCATTTATTTATGTGATTTTTAGAAACAAAAAAGGAAAAGAAAAAAATAAGACCCAAGCTACCAAATGTCGACTAGACAAGGCTGAACAGGCTACTGCTCTTGCTATGAGGGACATGTGATGAATCACAAAAGGGTTTGTAAAGGTTGTGAGGATACTTACAGATTTCAACCTTGCTAAGGAGCCCTCATGCAGACATGAAGGGAATTTACTTCTCATCAGCCCTGCAGGTTAGGCCAAACCTAGCAGTGCACAGACACCATGAAAGACCAAGCAGAGTATATTGATCCTTTTTTTTCCTTTGCAAAGAAAACAATGCTGAGAGAATTTGATACCATTTTTATAACATGGTGGTGTGTGTAGCCCTTCAAAGTTTGGTTAAAGCTAATGTTGTCCAGGATGGGAGTCCTGCTCTCAACAGCACCTAAGCACTGGTAAAGGACGTCACCACTGCTCATTAGTTCTCAAGTGCAACTGTGCTTTGTACCTGATGAGTGCTACGTGGGTCAATGTGCGGGGTAAATGTTTTTCTATTTTCCATGTCATTGACTCTGTCTCCATTCATGTAGATAATCGAGAGCTCTCTGCACAGTCAATATATCTTGTTTCTGGTACATATCTATTCCACATTAATAGAGAGCAGAAACCCTCCTCTCAAGTGATGACAGTGTGTGTGTGGGCAGGTTTTGGCAGGGGCACAGGCAACCAGGTTAGGGAGTTGGCAGAGGAAACTCCCTTACAGCAAGTTTCAGCACAGTTCTGCTGCTGTCTTCCTTGGAGTGGGTTACTATTTACATCTCTAGAAAGTCTGAAGAGCTACAAACCTCAGTCATTATGATGCAGCTCACAGACAGCCAGAGAAATGTTTGTCAGCCTCTCTCATGCATGGAAGAAGGCCAAGATCTTGACCATTCTAAGGGCTGGCTCACTTTACAGAGGAAGGGTGCTCAGAAATGCCCTTACCTCTTCACCAGAATTCTGAGAAGAAATTTCATCCCTGAGGAAGTCCCAGAAATCATGTTCCTTTAGCCTTCTCTCAATTAAAAACACACCCTCCAGTTCTTGCAAAATGAAACCACTTCTATGCAAATAAACTAAGACCAACCATAGAGAAACAATCACTCAGTGTAAATGATATCTATGAAAGGTTCTGTGTGCTTAGTAAGGCCAGGGGTCCAGGATAATCTTTGAAAGGAAGTTAACTATTACAGAGAAAGAAACACAAGAGGAAGATTGAATAAGCACAGGAAAACCACAAAAGAGAAGAGAGTCAAGGGTAGAAGGTGTAGAGAAAATGGGAAGGGCAACAAGAGAGGTCAAGGGAGCGAAGGGAGGTGAAGTCAAGAGTTGGGAATGGAAGGAGCTAAAGAGATGACCTCCAATGATGGCCTGGTTATGCTTTAAATCAGTAATTCTGGTTTTACAACAAATTTGGGCTCCATCTCTATTTGTGTGTGCATATAGGAGGGGGTGTATTTCTGTTAAATTTCTGGGCTTAAGTTAGAAGATCCCCATGATTGATCAGTAGCATTCTTTGCTCCAGTGAAACAAAAGATTGCTAGGTGGCCCAGGAAATGGTGAAAGCAATCTTGCCTAGACAAACCTGAGTCTACTCTAAGACAATGACTGTGGACTTCGGGAAGAATGCCACATTTGTCTCCACTTTACTCTAAACCAGAGATACCAACTAAGAAAAATAGCAATATATAATCACTTTTTAAAGATTCATATCAAATCCTTATGTCTTTGGTCAATAAATACTTCATCAAACATTTCTTAAAGATCCCTTTCTCCAAGCACATCTGGTTAGGAAATGAAGACATCCTTCTTCCTTTCAGGATGCGCACTCTGGAAATGGTGGCTCCTAGCTGATCCTATTGAAGACTGCCTGCTCACAGCCGTTGGCTCCTGTCCACACTGCCTAGGAATGGCTTTCATCAGCCAGCACCCCTGGGCCTCCCTGCAGTCCCCAGGACACTCTACTCAGGGAGGAGGCACACCGCAAGTCACCAACTGCACTTGGCGAGGCCAAGGAGTTTATTTAGGCTCACCTGGTTGATGCACCAAGATTTTCTACACCATGTATCATTTTAATAAAATCATCTAATTAATTATTTCTCCTTGGTGTCCGCATCTTATATTCCCACTTGTTCTCTCAACTCTGGAATCAAGTATCTTGCTCCCTGATCTTTCATTCATCTTTCATTGTCCCCACTGGTCCTGGACTGAGTTCCCAGGCTTGGCATTTGCTGATACTTGGTACTTCCCTTGCTCACCTGTTTCCTCTTTAGGAAGCTCCCAACAATTGGAAACAACTTGCTTTTAAAAGCAACTAACAAAGGAGATAATGTCTGTTGACACTCACAGAACCAGAAAGGGCCATCCAAATGTTAATTAGGGGCAGCTTCCATGAGTAGAAAGCGCAAAGGCTCAGGCATCTGACAGACCTGGGCTCCAGGCCCAGCTCTGCTATTTAGCTCTAGGCAAGTCACTTGACCTCTGTTGGCCTGTTTCCTCACCTATTAAGTGGGGGCAGTAATACTTACCTCACAAGGTAGCAGTAGTGGGAGAGGCAAAGAAAGTAATTGTGCCAAAGCCCTTTGCAGAGAGTAAAGGGCCATTACTGCTACCTCTCAGGACAGACCATCAACAAGCCCCTTTTTCCTTTTGGGATCAAAGGTCACAGTGATATTAAGAATCCAGGAATAAACCTATATGCCAATGGTCAACTGATTCTTGACAAGGGTCCTTGCAGGAACCCCATGGAGTCTACCAAGTAGCCACCACCCACTCCAAGTTACGTCAGGGTAGCCTGGCCACCCAAGTCTGAAAGCTCTAGCAGCAATTCAGAGAACCTTAACATCTGTACTGATGTCCCATCTCCTCAACTTGCCAACCTGGGAGCTTCTTTTCCAGCCAGAGCTACTCAGATTCTACACGAAACCTTGCTTTCACCTGCCCCTGGGGAACATCTCCAAGAACAAAGGCTTCTCCCTCTGTGGGCCCCACCATGCAGATGCTAACCCCCACTCCCTAGTACTTGGGCTTTACCAAGTGGGAGGAGGGGTGTGGGAATGAAAAATGGATGTATGAGAGAGGGAGAGAAAAGAGAGACAGCCAGAATGTCTGGGCATGAGCAGGAAGGGAAGTCTCCTGACGTAGGGTCACCAACAGGAACACTCAATGCTTCGGTCAGCCTGGATCTGCTGGGGACTTGCTGCCCCAAAACTGCAGAGATTTTTGTTTTCCATTGTCCTACCCAACCTTTCATTTTCCATTACTCAACCTTTTGACAGTCCAAGGTCAAATTAAAAACTGTCTCTCAAGTTTCTGTTCCTCAGTGATGCTCAAATGGGACAGAAACAGCCAAGGGGCTAGGGGCTATCTGCCTCATCTCTGAGGTTAAAGGAAAACTTTCAGGCACAAAATAATTCCACAAGCATATGTGAGACATTCCTTTAAAGCAGTGGTACTCAGTCCTGGCTGCAGATTAGGATGACCTGGGGAACTTTAAGAACAAAAAAGAAAAAACTGATGCCTGGGCTTGGACTTAGACCAATGAAATCAGAATCTCTGGATGAGGGGCCAGGCCTCTTGGTTTTTTAAGCACCTCAGGCAATTCTATTCTACTGTGAAGCCAGGTTGATAACCAAGCTCTGTTATCCATAGTTAGAGATCAAGGTTTATTAAATAAGCAAAGAAGTGCTTAGGAATGCTTTAAGAGCAAAGGAAGGAAGAAGGCCACCATTAGGGAGTGCCTCCGAGGTGCCGGTGCCGAGTTCATGCTGTGCCTTCGCACACTCACAAATTAGGGGGAGAGTTGAAAGGGAGGAGAGGAAATGTAGGGAGGTTGAGCTTGGGGGTCAGACCTTACAAGCAGCCTAGCCTAGGGCTGGCCCTTCAAATGCAGAAGAGCCCAGATGCTCTTTCTGGAGAAACCACAGGATGAAATTGCTGGGGAGAGGAACACTAGACTTACTTTTACCTGTGGCTAAAACACTTCTATCCTTCCATGTCAAAGTCTGTTAGGGGAAAAACTACCCAAAAAGGTTTCCAATCAAAGTGTATGAGGGGCTTGTGTGTGGGGTATATGAAAGACTATGTTTAGGTACCCAGCATGAACGGGAGAATTAAGAACACCCCTCCCTTCCCCTGCCTGCACCCAGAATGTGCTTCACCAACACAGACAGCTCCTGCTAACAAGAAATATTTGCAGACTGGTGACATTGCCTGGCTCCTTCATCCTGAGATGTTTGAATGGAACTGCATCGTTGAAGCAATTCCTTTTGATCCCTCCCTTCAAAGCATGGGTCCCCACTGCCCTCAACCTCCTAGCCTCAACCCCAGCCCCCAAAAGGGGCCTCTGTGGCATGGTAAGTCCCTTCTTTCCTTACCATGTCCTTAAAGCCTCCAAGGACGGCGGCAGTGATGATGCCCAGGAACAAGCCAACAATGTTGAGGATGGTGGCAGACCAGAGTAGGTGGTAGAGGTGGATGATGTCCTGGCAGCTACTCACATCGATGTACTCGTAGTAGCCACCAGTGATCTCCACGCGGCTGGACAGGGAGAAGTGCACTCCAGTCAGACCCAGGGAGCAGGCTGTGTCCTAGGGCTCTGGCTGCCATGCAGCTCAGCAAAAAGACAGGTGGGGAGCTATGGTAGGGAACATCATAGCCATGGATGCACTTGGGGAGCAAGGCACTATAATAAAACAAAGTGTGATTGCTGGTTGTCCCATAAAACCCTCCACCAGCCAGAGAAATACCCATTACCCTCACTAACACTAATCCTAGATCACATATATCGACCCTTGCTATGTACCAAGCATGATGCTCAGCATTTTACACATGTGAATTCGTGAAGTCTGTGCTAATATGTAGCTGCCTGTCACATGTGGCTATTTAAATTTAAATTAATTAAAACTAAGTAAAATTAAAAATCCAGTTTCTTTGGTTTCACCAACCACATTTCAAGTGCTGATTCAGTATGTTGAAGCCTGTGTTTGGAGACAGGTCTTATAGGAGGACATTAAAGTTAAATGAGGCCATAAAGGTGGAGCCCTACTCCAATAGGACTGGTGGCCTTATGAAAAGAAGAAGAGATGGAGATCTCTGTCCCCATAGCACGCACTGAGAAAAGGCCATTTGGGGACATGTGTGAGAAGGTGGTCGTCTGCAAGCCAGGGAGAAAGTCCTCATCAGACCCTGCTGGCACCCTGATCTCAGACTTCCTGCCTCCACGACTGTGAGAAAATACATTTCTGTTCTTTAAGCCACCCAGTCTATGGTCTTGTGCTATGGCAGCCCAAGCTGACTAAGCCATTATCCTTGTTGAGTCCCTCTGTAGCCCACACTCCTTACTAACGTGTCTGCTTCATTACTGTCTGTCTCCCCAACTTCACCAACTTCAGTGATGGCAGGCCTTGGTTCCTTTTGTTGACTGATGTCCCTGACACAGAGTTGGTGCTACATAAACATCTGTTGAATTAATTAAATGAAAGTTCTGTCTTCCTGAATGTCGCAAAGTAGTTTACAACTTGGCCACTGGAGTCAATAATGAATCTCAAACACTGTGATTCTTCAAATTAGAGTCATAACCAAATGCCCTGGCATCAGTATGGTCATTACATGTAGCTCCCCAGCTATAAGAACACCAAAAAAAAAAAAAAATTAAAGGTTAAGCTGCAAAAAGAATTAGGGAGGGATTATTCACACAAGAAAAGACTTTTAAACTTTACAAATGAATTTATCTTAGCATTCTTCAAAACCAGCGTTTTTCTAAGGAATTGCAGGCAGCGTGGTTACAGGACAGACTGCGGCAGGATCGTATGTGTGTGTGTGTGTGTCTGCCTGTCTGTGTCACTGCGTTATGTTTGTGTGCCTGTGGATGTCTCTGTGTGTCTCTCCATGTATGCCTGTGTCTGTGGGAAAGAAATGGTTACACATGCAGATTCCTAGGCCCAGCCCTAGTCTTATTGAACATGGTAGAATCTCTTGGGGTGAGGCTCAGGGGTCTGTGTTAACTAGCTTACTAATGTTTGAGACCCACCATTTTCAACAGGAAGCTTCCACGTGGCTCTGTCACTTATTTGCTGCCTGCCCCTGAGCAACTTTCCTAACATCTCTGAGCCCGGGGGGATTTAATGAGAATTCATGAAAGCCAGACTGGCACACAGTGAGAGCCCCCACCAAACACGCAATAATATTTGTTCTCCTCTAAGAGCCAGCCTCTGGCGACACAATTCAAACCTCTAAGTCTTGTCCTTAAAGGTATTAACAGGTTAAAGGCACAGACCACACCAGGGGGTAGGTTAGCAGTTCATTTAAAAAGATTCAATAAGTTTAAAGAATATATCACTGGTTTCAGTTTGAGCAGGTTCAACAGCTACTGAAAAGTTTTCTTACTGAACCATGAAGCCAAAGGAAATGAATACTTAGATCTGGTTCAGGGTTTAGCAAATTAATGTGGTTTGTTTCTGCTTGAGATTCATGACAGACGTGGCACAATCCCTGGGCAGAGCTTCCTGTGAAATTCAGTCATTTGCATCCCCACTGCTCCCACCCACAAGCCTCCGTGCCTCTGAGGCCCTCCTGCTAGATCCTACCAATGCCTGATTAAGTTTCCGAAACATTTTTTAAACTAAGTCATTCACTTAATCAAAACCCTTCCACGGTTCCCTATTAGTTTCAGGAAAAAAGGTCCCAATCCCTCAGTCTGCCATAATCTGACTCCAAAATGGAGTCCACTCTCCAGATAGGCTGTAGTACCCAGAAGCCCCAAACTGGCAATGCTGTGTACTTATTCCAAACCTTTGCTCAGATTTCTCCCCTTGCATGGAAAGTACTTATTGCCTTCTGTTCTCTGCCTGCCCTAATCTCTGCCATGGCTCAAAGCTTCAGTACCTGCCTCTCTAGTGCCTTCTTCAAGGACTTCAGTGTCCATTCATTAGCTTTTCCCCAAGACTCTCACAGCCTCACAGTCTGTTCCTCTTGATCTGGCACTTTGCACTGGTCAATTACTCAGTTTGTCACTTAATCCAATGTTCACTAAGAGCCTACTTGGTCCTGGGTATTGTGCTGGGTGCTGAGGCTACAACCAGGGCCAAGGCAGACATGATGTGTCCATCCACAGTGTAACCTCTTGAGGGCAAGGGTCACCTCTTATACTTCTTTTGTGTCTCCCTCACTGCTTAGCACAGGAAGACACACGTTATAGGTCATCAGTAAATACTTGGTGAATGAGGAACTGAGTTCAAAGACTGATTATAGCATTGATCCAGAAACTGATCACCTGATAGGGGCTTTCACCTCCTTGCTCTCAACTTGCTGGGTGTGCCTGAAGAAACAGATAACCTCTCTGTGTTTCGGTCCCCATTTAACAAAGTAGGAGGCAACACATCTTGGGTAAGGCAGAAGGGCGCCCTTCTGCTTTTGATAGGGGCCTGGGACCATGCACCAACGCCTGATAGACAGGCAGTGGCAATGGGCATCCTCAGCGCATCTCTCCCACTGCACGTGTTCTGTGTATCTGTCTGTGCTCCCCTCCCCACAATCCCCCTGGTACACTGAGTTCCGTAAGGGTAAAATTATGTTTTATTGATACTTATTCTTCTAGAACAGTCCCTGGCACATGGTAGGAACTCAATAACAGTTTTCCAAAAAGAGGAATGAATGAAAGTAAGCTATCTTCTTTCACTTTGTTACCAGCTGAAAGATTTCAAAAACCGCCCCTATTTCCTTTCATTTCCTTTAGCTTATGCACTGAAAGCCAGTGGTATTGATCCGACCTTCCCAAAACCGAGAAGTTCTCTGAAAGGCAACTATTGCGGAGCAGTGTCCTAAAGAAAGCCACCTTCCTGCCCAAGGCGAAATGGCACCATCAATGCTTGGTATTAAAACCTCACTGCCCCTGACGTCAAAGAAGGCCTGTGGCTTTGAGGGCACAGTAGAAACTCTGTTTCCGTAGCACTGTACAAATGACTGGCTGGTGTTTTTGTTCCCACTTTTTTTTTCTTGGCCTCCTTTCCAGGAAATGGACTGGAGGACCTGGCAATTGATTAAAAAATAGGTTTTGTGTGAAGAAAGCAAATACACACTCGGCAAAATTAAAGTCTCTGAGCCTCAGAAGGCTTGTCTGTTGTTGTTGCTAGCTATATTTAGTCCTGGGGTTTAGGTCTCCTCGGTGCTTGCTGAGAAAGCCTCTGCTCAAGGATCATTGCCTCTAAGTCTCATGGCCTGGGTTGATGACCCAGTGGGACTGCTTCCTGATGAAAATTCAGTGGCTCTTTCCAAGTGTCTTGGTCCTTGGAATCTTAGCACTACAGACTTGGAAAAGGGCCATGACTGATGCTGGGCTGGTCTCCTGGCATTAGGTAGGTGAAAACCAGTTCCAGGCTTGAACATCTTTAGGGACAGTCTCCCCATGACCCTCTTCATTGCCTAGTCAAGATTTTCTTTTCCTGGTGAAAAGGGTGTTCTTCCTTTTGTTCCTTTTCAACAAACATCATTCCCTTTTCATCAGGTCTTTACTCATGCCCAGTCCTGTGCTGGGGCCTGGGGCTACAGATAGGTTTAAGTCTGTTCCCTGCCTTTGGGGAGCCCAGAGTTTAGCACAGCTCCTCAGAAAATTCCTTCAGACCCTTGAAGACAATCCTGGCATAATTGTTTTAAGAAAGGAAGAAAGTCAGGTATTATGAAGTTCAGATTGACAGGAAGATAAACTGGGTTTGTGTCTCCACTTTCCAAATAAAATTCACCGAGGGCTCAGCTAAATGGAATTTAAAGTAGGATTTAGTTTATTTAAACCTTTTTCAGAAACGCATGTAATTGCAGAGAGAAAGGTGTGTCTGTAGGGAATCACTTCTCAGCCCTCCCAGAGAGCCTCCTCTCTCCTCCACCATCTCAGGCCCAGCTCTGGCCAGCTCCCATCTGGGGCCCCAGGAGGCCATGAACTGGGAAAGGAGAGGGGAGCAGCAAGAAGGAGAGGGAGGAGGGTGTTCAGAGGAGGGATGAGGTAAAAAGAGAGGGAAGCACAGAGCAGGGGAGGGAGGGTGAGGAGAGGCAAGGGGAAAGATAGCAAAGGACCCAAGTTCCCCTCGGGCCCATTTTACATTCCTTGGATCAGTTTTGGAAGGATGAGCTCAAGAAGTACAATTATAGCCAGCTCTCCATCACTGTTAAGGAAGGAAGTCCCTTGCAAGTGTTAGTTGTTATTACAACATGAATAATTGAACCCCTCAGATAATCCCCCAACCTCACTCGAGTCTTTAAGTTCCTCTTCCAATGCTGCCAAACCATTTACCAACAGGAGACTAGTGCTGGGGAAGGTCGGAGCTGGTGGGAGTTCCCTGCCACCTCCCTCCCACTCCGTGCCATCATTTCCCTGCCTCCAGTCTGTCAGGGCTTAACCATGAAACCAGAGAAACTGGCCCTCCGATACCAAGAGTACGGAGTGAGGAGGGCGCTGCATCCATGCAGGCCTTCTGGATCAGCTGCACCCTGGCCAGCTCCTCCCCTCCTCCCTCCCTCCCTCTCCTGGCCTCAGAGCTCCCACGCTGAGAGGCTGAAGGAAATATGTGCATGGGCAGGCACTTCCTACACACCCACATGCAGGGCTGTTCACTTGCATTCTGCACCACCCGCACACCCACTCCTGTCCATCCACTTTCTAAATTGCTCTCAAAAGTATCGCCTGCATCCTGCTGTCCCCAAACCAAATTAATCTAGGCTCCATTCTCTTTGGTCTGGGCTCTTGCTGTGGCTTCCTAGCTGCCTCCAGTCTCCAGCCACTCAAACCCATCTTTCCTGTGATACTCTTCAGTGGCTCCCAGTTGCTTACAAGGTCAAGTCCAAAGTCGTTACTATGGCCAATGAGCCTTCCATGATCTGGCCTCCAGCTACTGCTCCACCCTCACCTCCCACCCCTTGTCTAACTAGCCCAACCCCTGCCAACTGCTAGGAATACCCTCCCTCTCTCCACTCCCTTTCTGTGTATTTCCTAACTCCTTATTTATCCTTCAACCGCAGCTCTCACATCATCTCCTCCTTGACACTGCTCCCCAGAAACTCTGCCTTTCAGTCATTTGGGTCCACAGGATTCCCAGGAATCCACTGATCCCCACCGCATTTATCATACTATATTGTAACCAACTGTTCACAGATTTGTCTGCCTTCCTTGTCTGTGAGCTCCGCAGCTGTTGTCTCTGTATTCCTACTACCTAAATATGTTTTGAAAGAAAGAATAAATGATGTTTTAACAATTGGAGGCCAGCATGGCTGTAGCAGAACTAGCACCAAGCTTGCTCCTATCTCAGGGCCTTTGCACTTGCTGTTCTGTCTTTCTCTAGCTATCTGCTTGGGTTGCATCTCACTTTATTCAGATCTCTGCAGAAATGTCAGCTCCTCGCTACTCCAACACAGCACACATACTCCCTACCTTGTCACCATCTATCTCCCTCTCCTGCTTCACTGTTTTCAGAGCTCAGATCAACCCCTGGCACAGTATATATTCATGTGTTATTGACTGTCTCCCCTAATAAAATGTAAGTTCCATGAGGCCAAGAATGTATATTTTGTCTGCTGCTGAATCTGCAATGTCTAGAACAAGGCCAGGCACAGAGAAAGGGCTCAATAACGATTTGTTGAATGTTGTTGAACTTGGACTTAGAACTAGGTTTGAGCCCTACCTCTACCATTTTCAAGTTGTGTGCAACCTTGAGCTAGCTGTCTGCTCCCTCTGAGCCTCCCTCTCGTCATCTTTAAGTAGGGATCATGATGCTTCATAGGTAAGAATGAAATGAGATCAAATATTTGAATGCATTTAGCATGATGCCTGGTACAGAGAAGGTGAGTATCTGGCTGCAGTCACTGACAGACTGATGTTTTCTACTCTGATCCCTACTGTGCATGCTTCCCCTGTGCCCAGCCCTTCTGACACCCACTGTGGTCTCAAACCATTCTTCTTGTGCCTGGGAACTCCACACTTACTTGCCACAGTTGTAGAGGTCACAGCAGAAGCAGGTGTTGCCCCGGATGCGAGGTGTGCAGAAACCACGGCTGAGGTGGGGGCAGTTCACCTGAGGGTACACAACAGTGAGGAGGTGAGCTGGCATCGCATGGGAGGCAGAAACCTCTGGGATTGGGACGTGAGTTAGTGACTGATGGAGACCGTAAGGATGGCTGTGAAATGAACATACCAACGCATGAGAGGGATGGGGCTGAGCAGGGGCCCAGCTGAACCTGTGGGAGGCAAGTCACTGTGTAACTGGGGTAGCGTCCAGCCTCAGCGACAGCCCTCATTGCCCCATCCCTGAAGGGTGGAGATGGAGAGGAGGAAGGACAGATGGACAGACAGACAGAAGAACAAATGGACCAAATGGACGGCAGGAAATGAGGATCCAAGAGGAAGGGGAATCAGGGTACAGGAGGAAAGGGGACCAGATGGGAAGGGAGACAGAGGGGCTGTCACATGCACTCTGAAGTACAGTAGTACCTCTCTAGCTGCCTGGGTAAGGTTCCTCATAACCCTCGTGGAAGGAGAATTTTTGGTTGAGGAACTTATGACCTTATATAGGAAAAATAGGGTTAGGGGGACCAGGGTTACAAGTGAACCTATGGAAGTCATCATTAATGTCTTTACAGTCACCAAGTTAACACAAGAAAGCAGTCATGACGAAATAAAAAGAACAGTAATGACATTTTACACATCTTGAGTTTGCAAAAGAAAATTTTAATGTATTTCCATTTACTGTCTTTTGTTTGTAAGAAATTTTTCAGACTCTCTTCCCCATACAGAGGCAATGAAACGCTTGTAAATTTGTTCTGCTGTGTTACAGAGGATATTGACGATGAACGGGCATTTTTTTCTACATTGGTCCTTTATCCAAATGCTTGCTGCCTGATAAACTGTTGGCACATATAGATTCCTACTCCTCCCTTCTACCCTGAGGATAGTTAGAGAAATGGTAAATTTGTGATTGGGGAAAGGAAAAGGGCAAGTGGATGGCACAGCCATAATAGAAACATTTGCCCTGGCACCTTGGGAACAAGGCCAGCACTTTGTCCAACTCCAAGGGCACATTCACATTGTACAGTGACTTTTCCTGCAGCTGGGTAATGCCGTGGCCATTTTATAGCCATTTGCCTCCCTTTTCTCCCAATCACAAATTGACTATCTTTCTAACTACGCTGGAGTGGGTGGGAGGGCTGCCTTTCAATTTGAGGTTAACAGCGTACTAGATGGTCAAGGTTTCTATAAGCATGAGGTGGCATTTCATTGAAGGGATCTCTGGGTTGGGAAGGGATTATTGTGTCTTAAAATGAAAGTTCTCCAAAGATGACCTGGAGTCACGCTTCACTCACTGTCCCTGCCTCTAGTTCAGCGTGAGGCAACATGAGACACAAGAAGGGCTGTGAGGGGCGGGAGAGAGATGCTCTTCTGTGCCCACTCAGGCATTACCACACTGGCCTCTTGGGAGTGTCGTGAGGGGGCCAGGCTGACAGTCCAGGCCTCCCAGAGCCTCTAAGTGGACCAGGCTTCTCAGTCATCCTCATGCGGCTTCATGACCCCTCCTGAGTGTGAGACTCAGGCTCTACCTCCTGAGTCCCATCCCAGTGCCTTGGCGGAGCCTTGAGTCCAGGCAGCTGGACCATCATCCCCAGGGAGGTGGCAGGGGCCTGCCCTGTGGCCTCTGTACCCTCATCTCGCCCTTTTGGGATCAAAGCCACACAGGGAGAGGCTGCCCACTGGAGTCAGAGGGGCAGCCTGTGGCCACAGAACAAAGTGAATCTGATTAGGCCTCATGAGGCTCCAACTTACGACCATGGCCTCATGAGCACTGTGCTCTGACCCACTGAACAAATCAACTACAGACCTAGCTGCAAGCCTTAGGCCTGTGAAAAGGAGTTAAAAAAAGGGGGGGAGGAGGACTTCAGGCAGAACAGAAGACGTTCCCAAAAGGTAAGACATGCAGCCTCACTCTGGCTCACCTCCTCGGCTTCCTTCTGGGATGTCTTGGGGACATAGTGGCACCGGTTAGCGTAGAGTGGTTTCAGATCCTGGAAAGGGAAACCCAAACCAAAGGGGTTTTGGCTTTGGAAAATAAAGCAGCAAGTGCTCTGCTTGGCAATAAAAGACTTGAAAACACACACACACACACGTACACACACACACAGAGGCCATGGACTGGGTTAGTTTCTGAAAGCTGCCCATCAGGGAGCTGAGAATATGCGGATCAGATAAAAAGGTTCTAATTACTGCTTTGTACTGAGCCACTGGTTAATGAGAAATTAGGAAACTGATTGAGAAATGGCTTTCTTGAAATTTCCTCTCTGGTTTTCTTTTATTTCTGGTCTTTGTTTTCTTGCAAAGAGTCCCCAGGGAACAAAATCCAAAACTCCAGGTTATTGCACGATCACACTCTCCAAAGGAGTGAGTCCAGCTCCAACAATGAGGTCTCATTATCACCTGGGGACAGGACCAGGGCTGGCTGATATGCACTCCCTGCTGTCATTGCCACAGCTTTTCTAGAAGGAAGAGCTCAGGAAGCAGGCTCCAGGGGGATGGGCAGCTACTGAGACTGTTGTAGGTTTTAACTCAACTGAACCACGAGCCATTTTCACTTAACTGCACAGATGAGATAATGACAGTGAACTGCAAATATGCTGCTAAAGCCCAGGAAATGGACATGGGGCTCAAGGACAGTTGATTGACCCTGCAGTCCTGGCCAGCTTCCCGGTGACGGAGCTCTCAGGCAGGGGGCTGGGGTAGAGTGGACAGCTTGCAGCGCTGCCTGGAAGCTTGCAAGCAGGGAGATGCTGCTCACTTTCAGGGTGATGTGAAACACCCCCCGAAGGGAGGGGATCTGGCCCAAAGCAGAGTAGGACTGGACCAGCAGTTTATGCAAACTGACCTTAGGGGGTTGACCAAAGCGCCCTGGCAGGGGAAGTCTATCTTTTGCCCCCTCCCTCTTGCCCCCAGTTCTCTCACCCATCCTGGTGGCTGCTTTTACCCATGTGATTTAGCAGTTCCTGTACCTGGCACCCAAGTGCCTCCTGCCTCCCAGCCTGCCACCCCATCAAGGACCTAGGCCTTTCCATCAGCTGCTTCTTCACGAACCTCCTGGCTGCTCACTGTTCTGACTATTGCTTAGCCTGGAGTCAGGCTGCAAGGGAATGAGGGTTCTCCTGCTCACAGCCAGCAGGGTTTATTTTCCACGTTTGGGTAATGGCAGAAGTCATTATTATCCTGCATAAGGGGAGGCTTGAAGTGCTGGTCACAGCCCTCCTGACCTCCCAGTAAAGCAAAAAGCGTTCAGCCACAAAGTGCCCTAAATGAAGACAGACATGTGATGGTCGCCCATTTGCTGCCTCTGGCTGCTATTGAGCCCCAGAAGAGAAACAAGCCTGTGAAACTGAGAGGTAGCAAAAGTCACTCAGCCAGGGCTGGGCAACCTTCTTAATCTGATGGGTGACCAACTCTGGAGTGAAGAGATGGAAACAAATTGCTTTGAGTGTCTACTCTGTTCCAGGCCCTCTTAGGGCATTTCACACCCATTATTTTGTATTGCCCTCACGCTAACCCTGAGAGGGCGATTACTGTTATATCCACTTGGAAGAGGAAGAAACTGTGGCACAAGAAAGTAAAGTGACTTTCCCAGCTAGTTAATGGCTATATTAGGGACAAGAGAGAGAAGGAACAAGATACATTGAGAGGGTAGTATAAAAAGGAAGCTCTTGGGGGGAAGCTTATACATTCCTGAGCCAAAGGACAGGGCAAGATAATGTTTGTGGGCGTCAGCAACAGGAAAAGCTGGCTCTAACCCGCCCAAGCAATGCTAGGGTCCAAATGTGCCCTTCGTTCAAACTGGCCAACAGATATCACCATAGGTTAATAAAGCCTCCTTCCCCCAAACTCTCTGAGTATCAGGAAGGACTGGCAGATGTCTTAGGACAGGTACAGTGTAAGCAGAGAGGTTTTCTCAAAGATTCCTCCAACCTTACCCCAAACCCCTGAGTCATATGTTCTACTGCAGAAGGTACCGAGGGCCTAGAGTCAGAGGCAGGTAGGTGGCTATTAGAGGAAGCCTCCAGTAAATATAATTTGCATTTTCCCCATTGCCTTTGACTGAGGCCAGTGATCAAAAACATTAGGAGTGTCAGCGAAGTGCAAATCAAAACCACAAGGAGATCACCTCACACCCACTAGGGTGGCTGGAATTCAAAAGTCAGATAATAAGGCAAGGTTGTGGAGAAACTGGAATGCTCATACACTTCCAGTGGGCATGTGAAATGGTGCAGCCACTTTGGAAAAATTGTCTGGCAGCTCCTCAAAAGGTTAGACATAGTTACCATGTGACCCGGCAATTCCAATTCCAGGTATAGACCCAAGGAAAAGGAAAACACATGACTGTACAGAAAATTTGTACAGAAATGTTTATAGAAGCATTATTCATAGTAGCCAAAAGGTGGAAACAACTCAAATGCCCATCAGTGGGTGAATGGACAAACAAAAGATGGTATATCCATACACTGGAATAATATTACTCCATAAAAAGAAATGAAGCCCTGATACGTGCTACAACATGGATGAATCCTTGAAAATATTATACTAAGTGAAAGAAATCAGGTCACAGAAGACCACATATTATATGATTCCATTGATATGTGTTAGTTAATATAGACAAATCTATAAAGAAAAAAATGGGTTTGTGGTTGCCTAGGACTGTGGGGCGCTAGGGGGATAGTGAGGTGATAGCTAAGGGTATGAGGTTTCTTTTGGGGATAATGACAGTCTTCTAAAATTAATGTAGGGAATAGTTTGTACATAATTGTGGTTATACTAAAAACCACCAAACTGTACATACTTTAAATGGGTGCATTTTCCAGGACGCGAATGACATCTCAATAAAGCTGTTAAAAAAAACATTAGGAGGGGAGGAGGAGGTAAAAGGAGGCAGCCATTTTAACTCATGATGCCATCAAAATCTACTGTAGGCTTCTTGGCCACTAGGCCTCTGTTGCCATGGAGACTGCCTCAGAGTCTTGTCAAGTGCTTGTCTGCTTGTCAAGTGGGGATAATAATGCCTACCCTATGTATCTCATGGGACTGCTATGGGTCTCAAATGAGATAATAGATGTGAAGGCACATTGAAAAGCTAAATGCACAACACAAAAACAAAGGCATTATTGTTACTAAGATGGCTCCTGTTGAATACAAAATAGCACACATGCTATGACTGACAGCAACCATGCTACAAAAATAGGTATGTACTCAGAGGGCAATATGCAAAAATGGTAAGAATTGCTATGTTAGGGCAGTAAGATTGTGGATGTTGCAAGGTCCTAAGGGGTCATTTGCCTTTTTAAGAAAAACATGAAGAAAAAGATGGCTACTCTCAGCTAAAAGCAGAAGGGATGGGTCTGATATAGGGGCCTACATTTACATTCCTGGCCCTTTACTTCCCTCCCCTGTGCAGAAATTATCCCTGAGATACCATTTCAGAGATTATTTGGGTGGCCGCATGGCCCATATGAGCTCCTCTAGTCTTAGCAAATGAGGGACTGACTTGCATGTCTGGCAGGAGGGTCCGAGAACAAGTTGGAATTGAAATCCTAAGTCATCCTTCCCAGATCCAACTGTACCCATGACACTCCTTTGGAATGACCTGCACTATGACTGAAAGGAATGAAATATTATTGATCCACAGAAGATTCTGGAATACAATTTTGTTCTAATTCAATTGTTTCAGAGAGCAAAAAATTTCCAACTAGTTCACAAGCTGCTTTCATTTTCAATGTTGATTCAGTTGGAATAAAATGAGTGTTTGTGTTTGTTGCAGGGGCTCAATAAGTTGCTGTGGCTCACTCTTGATTTTACTTTGTGGGCCAGATCAGGGCTACATTATGACTTCCCTGGGACTTAGGCACTTTGGCATTTGTGGGCCCTATCCTCCATTAAAAAATATTGAAATTTATATTTTATTTATTTTAATTGTATCTTATGACTGTGTTGGTATAAAGACAAATATATTTATATTACATGGGAAACTTTTGGAGGGCCTAAAAGTTTATCGTTTTTCTTCTGATTTGGAAAAAAATGATATTTCTTTGGCACCCCGGAACTACTCTGGGTCACGGGCTCTGTGCCTATTTTGCCGAAGGAGCAGCAGGCCTTTGGCCAGGTGCCTGGAAGTGTATGAAATGGGAGGTGATGGGCAAGAGCTCCTGTAGAGAACCACATGGGAATGCCCTGACCCCCAGGCTTCCCCAGAGGAGAGTGCAGGTCTGGGTTTCAGGAGTAAAATGGTCCTGCTTGAGACACAGGTTCTCCAGGGTAGAAAGCATTCAGCACCTTAACTTCAGGACTGGACTCTGAATGGAGACTTCGGCTCTGGGGCTTTCTGCAGACCCCAATCACATCACACTGTCCAACCACTGTTATGGGGAGAGCAAAGTTCAGGTATCTGAGAAAAGGTGACTCTGTCCTCATGGTCTGCTCTTGTTGCCGTTGAAGGGGAGCAAAGCCAGGTATTGAAACCCTCAAGGCTCTCAGGAAGGCATGTGGCTTCCGCTCCTCTCTCCCTACTTCCTCCTTGTCAACATCAATTCCAAGCCATCCGCCTGGCTCCAGTGCCTTTGGCTTTGCCTTTCCAAGTCTCACCCAAATGTCAGAGGCGGAGCTTTAGCCAACCCCCAACCCACCACCACCAGTGGGAAGCCGTCCCTGACCCGTGAAGTCCAAGAAAAACCACTCTGGCTTTTGGAGTTTATAGCCCCAGCCCAGACCCACTTGTCCAGATGCCTGTGTGTCCCACAGGTTCCTCATCTTGACTGTCAGCTCCTTAGGCAGGGATCCTGTCTCTGCCCCCTTACACCCCCCCACAGCACGGAGCACAAGTCCAGCACACACTCCATGAAGCCTTGCTGTATTGCACACTTACTTTAACGCAGGACTGAAAATACTCACTATGTGTCTGGCAGCAAAGACCCCGTCGACTATGGCACAACAAAAGGCTGCAATCACTCCAAAGCTGATAAAGACGATAGAAGCCACCAGCTGGGGGTGAGGGGAGGGACAAAACAAAAGTGTCTGTAAGCCTTCCACTCTTGCTGCTTCTGGAAACTAGGCGATCCCTGAGAGCCTGCCAGCCGAAGCAGAGCTCTGGCTGCCAACCCGTGTGGACGCTCTTTTCAGTCATGCAGGAGGAGTGGGAGCTGGGGAAGCGGGAGGTGGAGGCAGAGAAGGGGCCACTGAAGCACTTTTTATGTTTTCAGGCCAAGCTAAGAAATTCTCTCTGTGAGTCTGTGAGTGCCAAATGAGGAGGAAGCTGCTGGTGTCCAGCATGCTGTCCATGACGGAATTTGATTCTGTGGCTCTTCCATTCTCAGACTCAGAAAAATGTTGGACCTTTGACATCATGTAGCCCAAGCCCTTAATTTAATGTGATATTGGAGGCTTAGAGTCACCATCTATTCTACAGAAGAGCCTGGAGCCACCAAGTCCTGGTCCAGTGTTCTTCCCACATTCCCACAGTGGACACTGATGCAGACGGGGGGATTCTGAGGCACCTACTTGGCCTTCTGCATCGTTGAAGAAAGAGAACTTTCAACTGACTAGGACTTAAATGTCAAAGATCTTTTACAGGGGTTGAAGCCTCTGAAACCCATCAACTCTGTGTGGTATGTATGTAAAATTTCAAGAAGAATGCTTACTTGAACCAGACCACCCAATTCTCTGATCATGTTAGGTAACAAAAATTTTCCTCATAATTTGTCTTTCATTACAAGGGTGATACTACCACCCAACGTGGGGGCAGGTGTTTCAAGGTGCCTCCAGGGACAGGGAGAGGTGCTGCCTGCACACCCATCATCTGTCCATGTTGACCCTCAAAACTAGATGGAATCAGTGTTTCTCTTCCTTGATGTGTTTGAGGGAAAGGAGCAGGAAATAGCATGGCATTAAGCTGCTTCCAGAGAGAGGAAGAAATTAAAGTCAAGGCCACCCTAAGGTTCTCCCACCTCAACAGGCTAGGAGGAAATACTTATCTCCTTCGGGGGTTGTTCAGAAACCTCTCCCCATAAATCTTACTTCACAGCACTACAGAGAATTGGTAAATAATGGATGAACTATGTCATGAAATTGGCATTATTAGCTATGCTATGATCAGCTCTACAATTAAAACTTCCCCATTATTTTGAATAATTTAAGCTCAAAGTGCAAACACAACTGGCAGGGAGGAGTCCAGGTGAAATGGAAGAAGAGAACTATTAGAACTCCCCTGAGGGCAATTCCCAACATTTGCTGGGGGAGGACATACGGTTAGTTCTCTGTCCCTGGAGCTATTACTTGCTGCTAATTAGACCCCATTATCAAAGTCAAGATGCCACAGAGACTTGTACTGGAGGAGCCTAATCAGTCCTCCATCTGACCACTCACCAGGCATCTTGATTTACAAGCGTATAAAACTGCAATATGCTTGCAGTTCAGCCTGTACTTTCTTTTCTTGCCCTCTATGAAGATTTCTCAGACTAAACCGGGAAAATACAACAGCTTGCCCTTGTGGGCTGCTATCAAGACATAGAATTTTCTAAGTTTTACCTTCTGTTATACGTTCATCCTTCTTTTCAACCTTACAACACACTTAGCTTTGAACTATGGGTAATGGAAATAATTAAGGTTGGCTTCATAATTTTATCTCCTGTGTGCCCCAAGTGTGTTTGTTCTCTTAGTCCAAGTCCCCTAGGTTGTAGTCTCCTGAAGGCAGGAACCCTATGAAAACTTCCCAAAAAGATTATGCATCAGAGAGGACAATGTGAGAGTCACCAATAATCCAAGGCTACAGCCATGGAAATCACAGAAGCAAAGGCATTCGAGGTGAGAACAATAGCCTGACTGAGTAGGCTGGACCACTCCATTGGGAGTGAGGAGGAAAACAAAGGGCAAGATCCAGAATATTCTATCCCTGTGACTTAAAGAGACTAGCTAGGCCACTAAGGGAACATGAGGCACAATAAGAACAAGTCCCATACCACAGGGTCACTTTAAAACAAGTTCCCCAGGAGCTTAGGAGAAAAGACTAAGTAGCAGTTTCTTTTGTGGCCCAATTTGGGCAACCTTAGAAATGTGTTAGTTATCCTTACAAATGCTGAGCTTTTTCAGACAAAAAGAACTTGATTCTGTAGTGATGAAGACTTACCATCTGCCGTTTGTTCTCAACAAGGTTTGATCCGATGATTCCAAGAAATGATCCAAAGCCGAGCTGCAAGGCAATACGGCATACATAGCAGGTGGGCAAATGGTCAGCCTGCCAGTTCAACCATTCCAGCTCCTGGGTATGACTCAGGACAATGGAAAATACTGGGGTAGACATGCCAGAGCCACATGCAGTTGTTACTTACACAAATGTAGTATGTACAACAAAAGCATTTCTCCCACCAATTGTCAGTTTTTCCTTGTAGATATGAATCACACCTAAAAAGAAACTCAGTGTGCCCCAAAACTAGAAGTAAAGGTCAACCTTTTCAGAATCTGCTTGTTTCAGTTTCAATATCCATTCCCTAGCATGGCGCTGGTGAGTCAGTAAGGGACATATAATGATGAAAAGCATGAGTTATATTCTAATATCTTTTTTTTTTCAAAAAGAGACCTTCCACTCTGATACGTGGTTTACAAAATAAAGGTTTGAAATAGCAATTTTTGATGCATCTGGCACACTGACTAATCAAACCCAGGAAGTACTTTAGAAATCAGCAAGCACCTTAACCTAGGCTTTAAAAAATAGAAGTATTTTTTTGAAAGACTGTATTTGTGGCTGACCCGGTGCAATTTATGTTAGCACTTATTCATCTCTTCTTCAATCTTTGCTTCATTTATGGACAGAAAGCATTCATTAAAGGGTGAACAGAAATGGCAGTGTAAAACCCTGAAAAACAATTTCCCTGTCTAAGTGGCTCGGGGGATGGCTTGGTGTAGCCGATCTTACTTTCCTCTCAGTTCTGCCATTAGTGGACTGAGTGCCACTTCTTCCAGTCTCAGCTGAAAACGATCACTAACTGATGGCTGTTGATGGGGATGAAAATGGAAGAAGTAAAAAGTGGCAAGAATGGACCAATAAATCTTAACACAAGTTCAGTGATGTAGTTACATTTCTCTTTAGCCTCACTAATGGTCTGGGTTTCCAGCTGCAGCCTTACCTTGGCTCACAGAGGCGTGTGTTTCAGTCCCAGGCCCCCAAACCTTACTCCTAGGCTTGGAAATCGAATGGACCCACGGGCTGGGCAGGAGCTTGGTGGGGTGGCACAGGGGGACTGGGTGGTTGTCTCGGAAACCCAAGAATGAAAGAGAATGAAAGGAAGGAATGAGTACAGATTTCCAAGGACTCATTCTGCAGGGCCACTCAGCCAGCAACCCCTCTGTGGAAATAGAAGCTGAAGTGCCCGAGAGTTACCATCTGAGACTCTACCGGGAACATCCACACTCAACAAATTATGTCTCTCTCCCACCTGGTCTTATTTTAAATGTAATGAAAATGTGTTGTCACAAAGTCTACTTACTGATTAAAACCTGGTTATCAGACTGGCCTGGCTTCTATCCGCAGCTCTTCCACTTACGTTTGTGTGATCTTGAACAAACTGATCGATCTCTCTAAACTTCAGTTTCTTTATCTGGAAAATGGGGACTACAGTCATGGCTATCTCACAAGGCTTTTTAAAGAATAGAGCAGAATGATATATCCAAAGAACTGTGCACAGTGCCTGGTACACAGTAAGTACTCAGCAAATATTAGTTATTGCCCTAGTGATCATCTGTACTATTTTTAAAGATATTTAACTTTTAAGCAGCTCTAACCTGATTTGAGCTGGAAAATCCTATCACTATTTATTCTATTTCGTAAGACAGTTTCATGTTCTATCTTATCTCCCCCTCCAATATATTCGTCAGCTTATATTTTTAAGGAAGAGCTCCATGAATAGCCTGTGCTGATGGCATTCTGGGCCACTTGCAGAGAGTGAGAGAAAGTTGGAGGCAGCTTCTTACATGGAAGATAAGTCCTTCTACTGAGTAGTTCCTCAGTTGCCACAGACATTCACTGAATCTCCCCAGAACCCCAAGAGCAATCTTCACCTTCAGATGGGAAACACAGACACATGCTGTTCCTGCCATCCTCAAATAACTCTGTGATGGCAGCAACCAGAAGAGCAGGGCTGGAAGCCTTGTGGAATCAACTGGGAAGACAAGGCACTCCAGAAATGGAAATCTCGGGTCAGCCAGTTATTTCATCCAGTTCCTCCCCTTCCTTCCATTCTATCCTATTCCACTCCAATTCATTCAGTTTTCTGACATTCACCAAGTACTTTTGTTAGGTTAAAGGGAAGACATGGCACCTGCCCTCCAGGAGCTCATAGTCTAGTGAGGGAGAGACAGACTGTTGGTTAAGGACCAAGGTATAAACAAAGTGCTATAGGAACAGAGAAAAAATTCATTCTGTATTATATCCATGGGTCTACTACTTATAAACTGTGTGACCTTGGGCTAGTCCATTAACCACTCTGTGCTTTGGTTTCCTAATCTATAAAATGGTAATCAAAATGGTACCCACCACACAGGGCTGCTGTGACAATTAAATGAGATGTATGTAATGTTACTTGCATAAGGTAGGCTGCTAAATAAATAATAGTTCTCGGATTTCACAGAGAAGGAGACATTTTAAGATGGAGTCAAACATAGGCAGAGTTCACCTGCAGGGAATTGTACCTATAGAATCATGGCTGGAAGATTCACTCATCTGGATGGCATGTTGATGAACTCATCAGTCGGTATGGGCTAAAACTGCCTTACATTTGAAAAGCATCTTAATTTAAAGAAGCACATGCCTTCCATTTTGGTCACAGTAGCAATGCTATGGAGTTCGGTGGAGCTGTTATCATTCCCATTTGATAGATAGGAAAATGGAGGCCTAGGATTGTATGGCTCAGCTTCTCTGGCAGCAAGTTAGTGGCAGGGCCAGGACTAGTCCTCAGGTCCCCTAACTAACAGCCAGGGTTCTTTCAGCCACACTTTGCTGCATCTGTGGCCAGTGTTAGTAGAACAGTGACCTTCATCCTATCCCCCGGCCCCAGGGAAGAAGTTCTCTATGGGGATGGAGTGAAAAGTCCTATTTGAGGAAGAATTGAGGGGTTGGAAATAAAGAAGGAAAAATCAGCAGAATCTTCTGAAAAGAGCAGCTGCTTCTAATCAACCGTTTGCTCTCCTGAGGCCTCAGAAAGGTAAGCCCTGTAGTCATCCCTTGAGAATTGCATAAAATCGCTGAATGTTCAGACCTTTGGACCTCCATCTTGATTCCCCATTATCTGAATAAATAACCAGTTTGCTTTGTTTTGGCTGCCCTCCACTTGTAGAAGAAAAAGAAAAATCATTAGAAATCAAAGTCAGATTCAAGGGCTCTTTTTGGACTCGGCCCTATAACCTATGCCTATTCCCATCCACTGCCCTCAGACACCCAGTGCTGAGGCTTAGAATGATTAGTCATTCAATAAATATTAATTGGACATCTACTCTGTGGCAGGCACTGTGCTAGATATGTGATTTGGAGGCCAGAAGGTAGGGTGTGGTATGATATCAAGACCAATGAGACTTTGCCTAAGGAACTATAATTACATAAACTGGTCCACCACGATCCTTTTCCACAATCCTGAAATCCACAAAGCTCTTAACAGCAAGAGAGGTTTTTGTAACTAACTCGGTGGCAAAACCTGACCTTGAACTGTCATGAAGTTTTCTTAAAGTCTTTATTCATGTAGTGTAAAAACTCAGTTTATTATGGAAATACAAAGTGCTTGATTATGAGGTGTTTTTCAAGATCCCACTGGGATGTTAGATAATAAATAATATATGCACCATATTATCTTTCTAAAATTAAAAAAAATCTAAATTCTCAAATACATCTGGCTCAAGGGTTCAGGTAAGGGATTGTGGACAGCTAAATGAGAATATGGCCCAACAGATGCCACAAAGCAGAATGTGAGTATTCTCCAGGAACCATGAGTAAGAGGACTCTAATGGTAGGAGTTCAAAGATGGCAGACCCTACTAATTGAGAAATGTCCCAGCTGTGTCTTTAAGTTGGGATAGGAGAGACCATTTGGATAAACAGAGAGTGCAGAAGGACATTTCAGGCCAAGGAGAACAATGATAGTGACAGCACCAAGGCAGAAAAGCCCAAGTCGTGTTCAGGGTACTGTGAAGTGACAATTTTGGCAAAAGACTAAGGACATCTTCAGAGAGCTTTGAATGACCATGCTAAGGAGGCAACAGGGAGCCAATGAAGGTTAGAACTTTACAGCATCATAAGTCTTACCAGCAAATAGCAAATCAGAATCCAACTCTCATCTTTGAAATGTAGTTACTAAGGTAGGAACTTTATTTTAGAGTGGTCTTATATTTTAGAAACATTTTACACAAGAGGCGGACAAACTATCTGCCTAATTCACAATAAACCACCAAATCCCACTATCTAGAGCTCTCTCTATTTCCTGAGTATTCAAGTTAGTCAAAACTTTGTTGTATTTGTCAAGAGGAGTCTCTATCTGTGAGGCTGAAGCCATACTGGCCTAGAGAAGGTTTCTGGGCTGTTGACTGTCTTGAATGATCCCTGTTTTCCCTGTCTCTATGATACCACAGTAACATTGATATAATTTTCAACTAACACCACTGCCCCCCAACCCCACCACTGGAAATGGGGCAGAATCTTCTGGTTTTTTCCTGAAAGAAAACTCAGGCTGGAATGGGCCTTAGCTGTAGAAGAGCTGGGGAGAGGGTGCCAACTCCATCTTGTGGGTTGCTTGGGAAACACATTTAGTGGTCTCAGTCTCCAGGAGATAAGGTTAGAGAGTTACAGAGAAGGAGCAGGTTCGCTCCAGGGCCTTTTTTTCAGCTTTGTACAACAAACAAGGCTCTTGTTTTTTTCAGAACTCTAGATTATATAGAGTCCTGGAATGGAATATGTCTTGCATATTTGAGGTCAGTAAAAATCCTGACCAGTTTGGCTTAGGTATTAAACAATAACTAAGCCAGTTTGTCTTTCTTCGCCTAGTTTTGATTTTTTAGCAACTGTACAGTTCAGCCTGTACAGGGTAGCACGTCTTAAAGATGCGCATGTGTATCTTAGGATGCTGCTGCCACATTCCAGCTCCGGTACAGCAACTAACATCCTATTACAGTGCACCTCACTGCACAAGAGCATCTCATTTGGCAAAATGAAGGTTCCCCAGAAATGCCCGAGATCTCAGTATTTAAATGAATTGTACAGTATAAGTCTTTGAATCTAATAGCCACTCCCTAATTTGTCTGTTTTGAAAATTTAAGTTTTCATGTATTATTAACACATTTAACCAGAGTCCCAAAACAGCGGAGTTCCAAATAGCCTGAAAATTTGTCCTAATTCTATGCAATAGTAATTTATATTCAAAGTGACCAATTTGACAGTGCAGAAACTTAGTATGCCACATTATGCTCACTCTGGTTTTATCGTGAAGTGTACTTTATTTATTGTGTTTCAGTTCTCCAGGTGATTGCTGGTCAACCTGATTTAGACTCCCCTGGAGTATTTATTAAAAGGCAGATTCACTGTGTGTTATTTTTTAAATCGAAGTTTGGCTCATGAAAAGAACATTCAGGTTCCTGGGTCCCACCAGAACTACTGAATCAGAATCTCTGGGAGAAGGCAATGGAGCTCTGCATTTTCCACAGGCTGGCCAGGTCATTCTTACACACACCAAGGTTGGGGAACTAGCTTAGAGTTTAAACAATACCTCCCTAATAGCTAAACTATTCAATTAGTGAAAGCACCCCATTCCCATATAAATCTGGATTCTCAGGCATTTACTGTTTCAGAGGTATGAGTTGTTACTGACTTTTGTTACTGACTTTTGTTATGACATGATCTCACCTCTAAACTCAGATGGATTTTTCTGCTTTTCAATCTGCAATCCTCCCCCTTTGCTTTCTATAATTAAAACCCATTTTAAAGAAACTTACAGGAACTAAAAGAGCAAATTTGTAAAGGTTAAACCATAGGGCACACTGTCTGTTAGGGATGGCTTTCCTATTAACATTTCCTTACTAACTTTTAGCGAAACACACACACACAGAGACCCCCACAGCTTCAACTTAGGCCAGCACCAGTTACCTGAATAACAATTATGCGCCCCCCTTCCTTTGTTAATGTATTCCAACCTAGCCACCCACACAGTCAGATATTCTACAGGGAAAGTTCATAGCCATGTTCATGAAAAGGAGTACCTACTCCTAAATGACACGGTAAATACCTTCCCCTCACCCACCGGAGAGTGAATCTTGGCTGGACCATTTGCTCATCAGAAATATTTTACTAAATGCTATCTGGAGCACACCAAGTCACATAAATTCTATAATTTGCTTTTCCCAGCCACCAAAATGCAACCTCGCCCCCCTCACCCCGCCTTGCTTGTGTTTAAAAATAAAACCCAATTCTGCTGACGATTGCTGTTCTTGCCTCACCACAGAAAGTGGACTGGGTGAGTTCTCACGTCACATATTTAACAGAGGGCACCAAACGGTATCTGTGGGATACCTGTCCTTGGCAGGGGAGAGCCCTGCCTGCTGCCCAAGAGCAGCGAAGGAACTTCCCTAGGCAGCTTCAGCTCAAGGGAGGCGCCGCTAGGCCCGTGGCAGGCCCAGCCTGCTAGGGCTACTGAGGAGGCTGATTGTAGAATTGGTGACCTAGGCAACAGGCATCAGGCTTGGTCACTCACAGCGCGGGCTTATCAAAGGCATCCATCTTTAATCCTTTCCTCGCCCTTTGCTTTCTCCCTTCAACCCCCACCTCTCCAAAAAAAAAAGAGGAAAAGAGAGAAAAAAACAAAACAACAACAAATACATCTGATCTCTTTGATGTCCTAAAATATATATAAAATGAATCATCCTAAACTTACTTCCTGTTCTCTAGCAACTACAATTGGGAGTCATATAATTGATGTTAAAAATAGTTTCCAACCTCTGGTTAGGTTTTTTTGGGCTCAACCTCAATCTGTGTAGATCCAAATGAGGTTTTTGTTTTTCTTTTCTTTTTATCCCAGCTTTACAGAGGTACAATTGACAAATAAAATTGTATATATTTAAAATATACAACATGATGATTTGATGTAAAATGAGGTTTTGTATATAAAGAGTTCAGTGGTTTCCAAGGTGGATTGCATCCACCCTGGGGTTTGGGAAAAAAAAGAAATTATTTCAACTCTCGTTTCCTATTTATTGTTTACCTAAAATAATAAGAAAGAAATTAAGCTGTACAAATATTCAATAAACAGACTGTTCCTGGTGCCTTCCCTCAGTGTGAATTTGGATGACAAGGTGAGCTATCCTGAGAGAGGACTGTATTATCTAATTTTAACTAAACTAGTCCCGGCAAAATGGACAAGCCATTTGGGAAGACTCATGAGAAACCACAAATTGAAAATGACTTTAATAATGTAAGCACAAGTGAGCAACGAAGAAATGGTCGAGTTGACGCTTCTGATTCTCAGGGTGAGCTTTTTGTCAGCCGCATTGTGAGACTGACATTAAAACACAATCACGCCAATGACAATCCAATCATATCTGATAATAAGTCAGCCAAAATTATTCAAAATTATCTAGTGGGCTATTTGAAATAAGGATTTACAGCCATTATCTTTAATGACAGATCTCATTGTATATCATTCTTTGAAATTCTAGTTAGTGTTAATAGGACAATATTGAAAATTATTGCTTATCAAGCAAAAATTATTGATTTCATTTTTATCTAATTATCAATTTTCCCTTTTTGTATGTTTTATGAGCATGTATATAATTTACAAATGAATAAATATGCATATATTTTAGGAGTAAACACTCCACATATTTTGCCTGATAGGAATGCAGGATCACTTTGGAAATCAGGGCTGTTGGTAATAGCATGTCAAGCTGCAAGGGTCCTCAGATTTCGGGTAAGATCAAGTAACCTCTATTATCTATAGGAAAGCAGATGCCCAGAGAGAAAGGGATCTTAGTCTAAGGTGAACATTGCTAGCTGGTAACAATCTCATAGACCAGAAAATTGAGGTCCTAAAGAGTGAGATGACTTGCTCAGGGTCACATTGCCGATCAGGGATAGAGCTGGGATTCTTCTAATCCTTAGTCCAGTGCTCTTCCTAATGGGCCCAGAGTTGTCTCCCTATATAAATACAGAACTATATAAAGGAGGAACACTGAGCAAACCCCAGAAACTCAAACAAACGGAATTGAAACCACCAGAACCTTAAGGTCTGTAGCCAGCAAATTTCAGAGACCTACCTGTGCCTTTTATACTTACAATCACTCCCGGGTAATAACCTCCAACAGTCACATTCTGGGTCCTGGTTGTTGCAGCAAGGCCGACCGTGAGAATTAACACAGATACAATAAGCAAAGTCACGGTGACATAAATGGAGTTTCGTTTCCTCCGATTGAAGGCTCCTGAAAGCACACAGAGAAACTGAAATTGCTCATTTTGGCTGGAGAAGGGATGGAGTTAAAGAAAAAAAATCACTAGGAAGGTTTTCCTTTCCTACTCCGACTGGTAACTGGGGTTACCTTTGGGGAGTGGAATTCTGGAGAAGAAATGGAGCTTTAGTTTTGTGCAGTCATCAGGTGCCATATTTACGATAAAAAATAGATTCCCAGTTTGAAAACAAACAATAGGAGAAATGTTGCTGTTTATGTAAAAGCAAAACCAAACAAATGTTTGTGATTTTGGCATTTTATAAAAGATGTGTCATACCCGCTTAGTAGAGTGGTTTTTTAGGCCAAATTATAAAGCATATGATAAATGGAAAGTGTACATGAGGAGGTATTAAATGAAAACATTTTAGAGCCAATATGCAACTAAGAAGGGTTTTTTCATAAGCTGGAGATATGAAATTTCATTTTCAGTGTAAATATCAGAACCAAGCCAGGTACTGGGATTCTTTTTTTCATTTATTTCTGACATTCGCCACCTCATGTATAAACTTTAAAATGGTGTGTTGGCAAGATTTGTCACATAACAAATGTGTGTAATAAAGTAAGTGTTTGGAGGCCATTAGTCCGCAAAGATATATATCGGGGAAAGTAGATGGGAATGTATACACATTTAGGCTTATGTGAAGGTGACATAAATATAAATCACAGGAAACTCAGTGCTTATCAGACATGATAGCGCAAACTAATATTTTTTTCGAAAACAGGCTTATTAAGTCAGATAGAAAAATGGTGACTCGCTTTTCAACCTTTTTTTGAAGGAACTGAGCACTGTTCCACTCGGAGTGCGTTTCTCAAGCATGGGGAGGGGCTCTCAACAGGAAATGCCAAGGATGAGTCCCACCTAGGACTTCTGTAAAAATATGCAAATGAACGCATGCTAGGAGGGTCCATTCTCTAGTGGGGAGGTTGACACAATGGGAAGCATGAGGATGGGGTCGCCCACCCAGGTGGTTTGACTGTCGTTTATGGGCCTAAAGATGCCACTAGAGTCTGTTCACAGGACCTCCGTCATTCTGAGAGGCCTCACTGCAGCCTCAGGAAGCAGCTGCTGTTAAAGCTGCCCAGACTGCACCACTGGGAGGGAGGGGAGAAGGGATGAAGCCTGGGGGAGGGAGGCGAGAAAACCAGCAAGACCCAGAGGGGGCTGCTGGTGATGAGAGGGAGGGGCCGGGGCTGGCCAAGCAGCTCCCAACAGATATCCCCTCCTGGATGGAAGAAGAGCATCCCGAGTGCCACCCTAGGTTACTCCCACCATCCATCTTGTCGTCCCCAGTGCCTTCCCTGCCGAGGCTCCCAGGGAGGTGGGAGGGGCTGGCGGTCTCCCCTGACGTCAGCCTCGAAAGTGAGGGACGTGACTCATCAGGGTCATTTCTCAGACGATACTCTTCTGAGACTATTTGCATTGAAATGTTATTAGTGGCTTGAGCGTTTATAGGCACCCACAGAATAAAGAGTATCTCACCCGGGGAGGAGGGGTAGGGAGAGTTGCGGGCTTCTCCCCCCTGGGGCTTGAACTCGGCCTCCATGGGGACAAAATAGAAGGGACCACTAGAGACACCTGTGACATCAGGGCCTTTTGTGTAAAGGGGTATTTGGGATGCAAATGGTGAGCTGACTGGTGGCAAACCCTGGAGCTGAGCCAGAGCTGCGGGCTGCCAGGGGTGGGGGTGGAGGAGCAGGATTTATGCCCTCTGTTTATCTGAAGGCTCACTCTTCTTCCTCTTGATTTCTAGCGGCCCTGAGTGAGTCTCTAAATCAGGGTCCCTGAGTTTATATGATAGATACTTCCCAGCGGATCTGCGAGTTGGCACCACAGAGGGACTCTAACATAAACCTACAACGTTGCCTCCCAGTCTTATCTGCCTTTCTCCTTTGTCACTCACACCTTCTTAGCGCTTCCCTGCTTCAAACTGGCCAAAGAGAGGAAACATCTGGATCCACCAAGGGTATCTCTGTGACACATGAAAGTGTCGCCTCATATGGAAAACATGTAACTTTAGAGACTAAATTGGGGGAGTGTGTGTGTAGTCTTTCTAGTTGTGTGTGTATCACTCGCCTGCTCCTTTGATCCTATTCACAGCTCTTAGGTCTCTTTTGCAAATATCACTCTAACTCTTAAAAGCACAGGAGCCAGGTCAGAAAAGTGACTCAGCAAACCACATGGTGTCATTTGAAAATCTTTTTTTTTTTCGTGCTTTAGAACCTGAATTGAAACTCCAGTCATTTGAGAAACCCAGGCCAAGATCCTACAGATCCACAGGGGCCTTGCCTCCGGATAGGATTTGCTTTAGATAAAATTCCTAAGAAAACTCTTGCATCATTGGGTTGAATATCTATTCTCTGTCCCCTCATGCCCTCCCCGAAGTCACCCCTTATTTTACACAATAAGGACGATAATTGAGTAAAATGAAATTATTTCTAGTTGCACTTAAGGAGTTGACCATTTTAAGGAACCCCAGGGTGAATCCTTTGGCAAACTGAAGAATCATGCCTCCATTTATCTTTGGTGTCAATCTGACTTAAAAGTCACATCTACTTAGAGCAAGACACGTCTATTCTCTAAAGGTGGAGCCCAGGCTCTTAGAAAGCAGTTCATTGCGTCTGCTTAGGACATTTTCCTGGTGAGTGCTTTATTTTGGAAGGAAGAAGTAGAGCCCTACTCTTATTGGGATACAGTTTGGGCCTGCCTTAGATGCCCCCATGAAGACAGGAACATCTTATTGCCATTTTGTTTAGTAAATTGACATATTAAACACCTCAGACCCGTGAGGTACTTAAAAGCAGCAGGTATTTGAAAACAGTGCCTATCACAGTGTTTGACACCTAGTGAGCAGCCAATACTTGTTGAATAAACAAGAGGCAATGTCTCAGAATTGCTTCCCTTCTAATCAAAAAGGCTGTGGAGGGAATTGTGTGAATAAATATGGGCCACAGTCATAGAATAGATTTAAAATAAGGTACACCTGAGGGCTCCCCAGAATTAAAAGACTTCTGGCCAAATTGTGTTACAACCCCCATGTCTCTCACTAGTCTGTCAACTTGGCACCCAGTATATTTCTGTTTAGACAACAGTAACCACCCCTGCAACCCACAGCAGTGGAAGAGTCTGAAACCCAGTCATTGGCACTGCCTGCTGCCCCTCCACTCCAGCAGCCTCCTGCAGAACTACTGCAGCCCTCCCTTTCTGCAGTGCCCCGCCTCCACCCCAGGTTCCAGATGACCACAAAGCTCTCAGCTCTAAAAGCACCCAATTATTTGCTGTCTCCACCCTTCCAAATACAGCCAATTTCTCCCTCCTCTGGGTTTCTCCGCCTGGTCAAAGCCCCCACCTGCACTGAGGTCTTTGAACATGATTCCCTCCCTTCCTCTGAAACTACTCAAAACTCACTTCCTCCAGAAAGTTTTTCTGATGAAGCTCACTCTAATCACTCATTATTTCATGTCCCTGAGGTCCTGTATGTCTTACTCAATACATACATTCATTTTAACTATTACAATTGTAATAGTGGATCCACAACCCATGTGATGTCCACCAGTTCCAGGATTATGTATGAGACAGGAACCAAGGTGTGGGTTGCCAGGAGGCGGGATGGTTGCAGCTGCTCATTTGTTTTACCTTGGGCATGTTCTTGATTACCTCCTGGATCACAGGGTGTGTAATCTCTATCAGAGTGCAGTGAGGATAGGGGGCCAGTATCCTGTCCTGTACACTACGTTGTTGACAACCGGCTAATGCTCAGGGCTGATCTCTTGAACCGATTAGGATTTGCTTACCTGAGTCCACTTTGCCACACAGGGAGGGTCCCAGAAGTCCCAGCCTTGAGCATCCGTGGAAACAGGTGGCTGCCCACACAAGAGCCTCAAGGCTCTGCCAATCTCCCAAACACTTTCTTAAAGGTGCTGAAACACCCGCCCTTCCACCCCTGCCTTGGCAATTCATTGACCAGAGCAATCCCCGATCACCGGTGAATTACAATGTGTTTGTTATCTGGGAGGAAAGGAGTGCCCCGCCGCAGTAGATGTGCCTTAGCGCCTGGGGGCAGTATTGCCAAAAGGGAGAAGTGGGGTTGCTGGGAGGGGATGGAGGGGTGCTGGAGTCAAATCTCCATCTTCAAAAGGCCAAGCGCCCGCCTTCTCCAAGACCTGTAGGAACCGCTCATCCCCAGGCAGCCAGCAAGCGTGGATTGCGGGCACCTAGTGAGTGTGTATTTGTGTGTTTTATATTTTATTGTTTTGGCTGCTGTTGTGTCTTCCCCTCAGAAATGCTGCCTTTGGAGGCGGAAACACGAACCCACCCACCCTGCTTCCCCTCCCTCCGTGAAGGGAAGGTGGCTGTGCCAGAGCTGAGTTAAGTGGGAGTAGCTCCTGAGTAGGCTAGACGCTGATTCAGGCCTGGGCTGTGCGGGACCAGCGCCAGGGAACTCCGGGGAGACTCCCCTGTCCAAACTGGAAGCCCAGGGTTACCACTTGACTCAGAAATTCGCTAGTGCCCTCGGTCTGCGGACTTTACAAAGCGGGATGTTTGGAGCGGGCTCGCGAGTCTATACAGAATCTATAATTCTTCTCCCGCGGTGTTGAGTCCGGGCTGGGCGAAGCCCACTCAACTTCCTGTTGCGCAGTCGCAAGCTTGGCTGAGGGCCCCTGGGACCCCAAGAACTCTCTTCATTTTGTTCCCCAACCCACAGGTAGCAGTGTTTTAAGCCTGGGCTGCTAACCTGCCGGCTCCCCCTCAGGCAGCGGGGCGGGTGCAGGAGGCCGGTCTGGTTGGCGGCTGTGGCCCGCGGCGGGCAGGGGCGCTGCGGAACCTTCGCACTCTGCCCCCTGCCCGCCCTCGCTCCCCAGCCTGGCGTCGTGGCGCCACAGCTGGCCAAGGTGAGGAGTGCATTGTGTGCGTGCGTGTGTGTGTGCTTGTCTCTGTGTTTACGTGTGCGTGTGTGTCCGTATCTGTGTGTTAGAGAGCTGCGGGGAGTCTGGTACTGCTGGGTTCTGGATTCGGACCCGAGTTCTTGGCCTCATTTGTACCACGTTGCAAATAACTACGCCCTTAAAAATAAAAAAGAGCAAATTCTTATACTGAATATGCAAACATTGAAAATACGGATCTTTCCACCATGTACTTTCTGGGGCCCCTCCGGTGAACGAATTGTAGAGACTGAGTCTTTTGCAAGCAGAGGGGAGCTCACATAGGGGGTTCAATTCTCTCCCAGTCCCCTCCCCTCGAGATGTTAGCGCAGATTCTTTGGAGAACACCTGAGCAGACTGTAATTGGCAGTAATTCGGGACGGACGGATTTGGAAAATGAAAAGTACGTTTTAAAGAGAGAATTCGATTTAAAGTGTATCTGAGGCGAATTTTAAGATTAAATGGGATCATGATTTGACAATCCCCTCCTGCTCTCCTGGGCTCCAAATTAATTTCTCCGCCCAGTGAAATCATAGGGCTTGGGAAGGTGCCTAGCAGCTGAGGAGGACTGGGTTTGTTTGTTTTTGTTACTACCAAAAAGCAGCTTCGAGGGGCAGCCAAGTTGGTGACTAGAGGTAGCTGTCCCCCAGTTTTGAGGAGGAAAGGTGTTAAACCAAATCGGGCTGTGGGTTCCACCTCCCCCTCCATTCCACCCAGGCAAGAAAAGCGCGACTTCAGAAGATGCGCGGGCTCGCGCTAGCTCTTTCTCGCGCTCTCACTCGGGCCCCGCCCCTTTTTTCACACTCACGCACATTCCGTGCATTTGGAGCAGAATAGGAATCAAATTCAAGGAATGCTGATCCTGCCGCTGCAGACGGCAGGGCTATGCTGTCTTGAGTGATTCCTCAGGAATTCCCCTCCCGCCAGAACCTCCTTTCCCCCCACGCCCATCCCCCAGGGTTGCGCAACCCTCCCCCAGGCAACCAGGTGCAAGTCAGCACCGCCCCCCCGCCGACCCTGCAGAATTTCAGGGCAGCTACGACAGAGTTGGGAGGGGGCGAGGACCCCGCTTCTTTTAATTATCATTAGTCCTGAGCTCTCAGAAGTGACGAGGACTTTGCAAAGAGAGAGCGTCGAATGGAAAGCGAAGGCGCAGGTTGCAGGGAAGTGTTTTGATCCCCAGACAGCTGGGACTTACCACCGGCTGCAAGTCTGTCGATACACGCACACAAACACGCACACACCCTCACTCCGGGGCAGGGATACTCCGACGCAAGCTTGGAGCTCCAATCTAAGCGCGTCGCCTCCGCCCCCGCCGGGCCGCTCCCCTGGGGCTTGGGTCTGCGACCTGGACTCTGGGGAGCGCGGATCCCCTCCAGAGCCCCGCTTCCCGCTCCCTGGCTCCCAGAGCGTCCGGGGCGCTCGCAGCCCAGAGGGCAGTGCATTCACCCCATGCTGCCGCCGCCCCTAGGAAGGACGGCTAGACTTACCCATGGAATCGGGCAGGGACATGTCGCTGGACCGCTGCTGAGTCAGGGACTGATGCATGCTGAAAGCTGCCCTGTGGCCCCGGCCCCCGAACCTGCTCCACGCGTCCCCGGCTCAGGGCGCCCCGCAGAGCATCCTACTCCGCGGTTGCTGCTCCCTGTCCCTCCGAGAGATGAGCGAGGCTGCTTCTGGTTGCGAGCTGCAGCCCAAGTGCCTTCTCCCCCTCCCTTCCCCTCTTCTCCCTCCTTCCTCTCCTGCCTTCCTCTGCTCCCGGAGGCAGCAGCATTGGCGGTCCGAGCAGCGGCGTGCGCTTGCGCAAGACCCCCCCTTCCCTCCTCCTCTACCCCCCCCAATCCTAGTTATCCACCTACTAGCCTCCCAAGCCAGACAGGGAGCTGTTTTAGCCCCTTGGGGCCAGGGCTGCGCAGAGAAAGAGGGGGAGGCTACAGCCCAGGGCCAACCGGCCTTCTCTGTAGTTTGGAGAGAGGGTCTTGGGCAAGCATCCTGTTTTAGGATCTATAATTGAGGAGGGGGCAGGGTCAGAGGTTCAGAGCTAAGGAACACACACGCAGAGACCAGACACACACACACACACACACACACACACACACACATTTGTGCAGGTTTGATCTTAGTGCTTCCAGAATGACATAATGGAGCTGGAGATGATCCAGAGAAGGGCCACTCTATAGCCAAGGGGATGGGGAAGGGTGGAGGAGGTTGCCATATGAAGATAGATTAAACAAATGCAGACTCTTTAGAAAGATGAAGCCTGGGAAGGGATGTGACCAGGTTGTATAAAATCATGCAGAGATGGAGAGAGGGAACACAGGCTCATTCACCAGATCTGAGAATTCTGAATCAACAGCCCCCTAGGAGCTAAAAGGAGATTGAGCTAAAGCAAACATGACTGCATCAGCACCCTAGTTTGTGCTTTTGTTCAAGATGTTTTTATGTCAAGGATCTCATTTTCTCATCATAGCAGCCATGCAAGGCAGGAAGAGGAGGTAGCAATAATCCCATTTTACAGATGAAGAAACTGAGTCTCAGAGAAGGGGCAAAAATTTCCTGTAGTCACTCAGCTATTAAGTGGCAGAGGTGGGATTTGAACCTAGATCCATTGAAACTCCTGGTCAGTGCTCTTCTACTATGGCAGCTGAGAACAAATATTACTCTCTATATACTAGCATATTAAAATTTAAGGAAGTTTTTAGCCCCAACAGGTACAACAGGATGAAAACACAAGTAGCTTTGGAAAAAGTGAAAAAGCCGTGGATGACAGATGTAGTGTAGGTTGCTACGGGAAACGGGGGCTGAGGTGGGAATGTCCCTGATCTTGGAGGATAGCCAAATACTTTCTCAACCCATTCTTCCAGACCCCGTTAAGATTTCAGGCTAGAATCACTATGTTGGCCCAGACAGTGCTTCTGATGTCCTTAAAACATCAGCAGAACAGGATGGAGCCTCCTTGGAGTGCCCCAAGACATCTGCCTGGTGGCCAAAGGAGGTGGAAGGTGAGGAAGGGGTAAGAGTGGTTTTCAGCTCCGTCTGGACACAGCCCCTGGGCTGGCATCTGAAGGAATTTACCTGTTTGAAGTCATTCATTCTGTTCTAGTGAGAGCTCCCAAGTTCTACTTGCCAGGTCTCCTTCCAACCACCTCCCTCTATGACTGCTGCGACCCTCTCTCCTTGTCCCCCTCCCTGGCCAAAAACCAAACAAACAACAAAAATCAAGCATAAAACTCTCCTGACATTGATGAGATGAAGAAGAGTATTTGGTTCTTTCCATCTCTGGCTGGCTAATCTACTGTGAGGCTTTGTTTCCTTAAGGAGCCAAGGCCCCTTGCCCTTTTCCATCTTCCTGAAAAAGAAAAGATGCTTCCTGAAGGCTGAAAAGAAAGCCCTTTGTAAAGAACTTGGATACCTCAGGGGCCAGGCTGAATGCTGCTCAGGTATTATTAGCAGCCATACACTATAGAAGTGGTTCATAAATCTGTGCTATATGTCCTAGATAGAAACAAGATGACCACTATTGTAAAGGTGTGTCTTAATCACACTTGGCTTATGTATCAGTCTCCATGATCTCCACAGAAGCAGAGAGAAATCCTATGTTTACATTCATGCCGTGTTGTCTTCAGTTCTGTTTATCTCTTCCTCTTCCTACTCCAAATATCTTATGTTTAATATGAAGAACTCCTGTGACCAGCACCGATTTCTCAGGAGTACTTTGTAACTAACTGATTTTGTTTCTGTGAAAGTAGCCTTGAAGAAAATAATTTTTTATACAGGCTGGAAAAGACAGCTTTATACCTTCTTCAGAGATTTTGGCTCCCCTATAGCAACCATACAGTTAAAAGACCCCTAAAGAAGTCAAATAAAACTTGTTACCATGCTGGTTTGGATGGGCAGAAGGAGAGCTTTTCAGTTTAGAGAGAAGCACATTACCCATCAGTTGACACCGAAGGCATATGTCATTTGACCTTTATAATCAAAGCCACAAATGAGTGTGGTGCTCTTCTGGTGGTGGGGCTGGCTTTATGCCACATCTGTATTCCTGAGTCCTGCGTGAAAATGAAATGCTATTTTAAAAAGTACTAGGGGAGCTGCCTATTTAAAAGAACTGCATTCTGTATATTCCTTTCATACTGTCTCTTGGGGTACCTTATGAGACTTGGAACACAGCAGGCTCTCAGTCAAGTTAAAAATGACTTTGAGCTCAGTAGCAGCGACAATAGCAGCAGCTGCGGCAGCTCAGAGAGTAGTAGCCGTCTTCTTCCCAGAGATGGTGTGCTTGTTTGGACAGAGGATCTGGGATAAAAGGAAGGAATAGAATGGGAACCTGGGGGAAAACCCACATTTCAACCCAGCCTGGGACAAAGACCCCCTTTCCTCAAAAGTTTATTTTAACTCAGAATGAGCTGGACAATTAAAAGGTCAGGAGCCGTTTTTCTTGGGCTCCCTTCTGACTTGCCTCATGTCAAAACACATGTGAATGTTATACATTAATAGGCTCATAGTAAAATTTACCAATAGGCAAGCCACTGAGATGAAGGAATATGTCTTTCATGCCAGGGAAGGCTACTGTAAAACTGTTTCATTAGCTTCTGATAAAAAAGAAATTATTAAAATGGCTTAAAATAAATCATTTCACTGCATGCTTAATCAAGCATCCAATGTTGCCCTAGGTTGCTAACTTTTATAGGATGAGGAAATGTTCGCCAATGCGGCTGCAGCCTGCTTCTGTCCAGCTTCTTCAAACCCCTGATGAGGAGCTCCCTAGAAGCCTTCAGACCACTAGAAAAATGCCAGATGGCACTCTGTCTCTAACACATTCACCCAGGGAATAGCCTTAGCACTAGATCACCTCCTTACTTGGATGATCAATTTGACTCGTAATATTACCATAGCATCTTCCTGATTTCAAATTTTGGAATGTGGGCTAGAGGGATCATATCCACATGAATACACACACATTCATGCTTTGTGCATATTTAGAATGGTGGCCACACAAATGTGTGTGCATTTAGTTACCTAGTTACCCCACACATACACACCCCCCCCCCCCCACAGGCATTCTCTCTCCATCCTGGTTAGCACATCTCAGCTCCCAGAGTTAAGTTGGCTAAGGATAGAAAAGGAGCTTAGAATAATGGAGAAACCAATGAGTCCAAACGTCCCTAATTGAGGTTGGAGCTGTGCCACCAGACTACCTTCGGTCAGTCCCTCATACCCAATGCATGAGCCCCAAACAGCTGAATGTTTATTAAGAAGAACCACTGTTGACGGTGCAGTTTCACCGACAAAACTTAACTGGTTCCCATTGTCAGTTAGTCATTTTCTTTGGGTACCAGGAAAATCCCACAGCACGAGGGAACAATGCTGGTACTTGTCTCTTCCTCTTCCTATTATTGTTCTCTTCCTATTCTAGTGACCTGCTTTAGTTACCAAACCCTTTAAATGTTTTCCAATACCAATTAGAAATTTTTGATAACAGGATTTTAAATGGATGGAACACCATTTATTTACCATTCCCTGTTTTGGGATATGTTAGAGGTTTCCAATTTTTCAACATAAAAGGACAATAAACTAAATATTTGCATCTTTATCACCATAGGATACAGTATTAGAGTGGGACTGTTGGTTCAAAAGTTTCCCATTTATTTTGCAATTAAAGCATTTTTTATCAATACGCATAAAGTGCACAGGTCTTAAGTGTGCATATTGATGAATTTTTACACACATATACTTCTATAACTACCACACAGATCAAGATGTTGAACCTTTCTAACATCCCAGATGGCTCCCTTGAGCCCCCTTTCCAAGAAATAAATGCCTTGGAAGTAACCACTATTCTGACTTTTATCAAGTCCGAATATTTTTAAGGCTTTTAATGCATACTGCCAAATTGTCCTCCAAAATATTTGTAAGCAAAGAACAGCCCCACGACCAGCATGTGAAAATGTCTGGATGCTCACACCCTCTTGATTTTACCTTGCAAAGGAGATGTTTTAACACTTAAAACATCTTAGTACCGGTTACAGTCAATGACAGAAAAGGCCAGTCAAGAAGTGGATTGGAGTGCAGCTGGGCACTAGGCATCCAGTGGAAGCTACAGATCTAGGAGACAGAAACTGAGGGCAGTCCCAGCAGGCAGACAACACCATGTCACAGTCCACAAGTCCCTTAGAAACCTCCAGCTGCTCAGTTTTCATTATTGTGTTCATTATTGTTCTCCACTGCACATACCCAAAGTCTTCTTTTTATGGAGCTTCCACAATTTCTGTAATGATCACTTAGTTACACCTGGCACATAGTAGGGACTCAGATACTTGTTGAATATATAGTATTTTATCTATTGTTTTTTCTGCTTACTGACATAAAACATTGACACTAAAAATTCCCCAAGCTACAGAGGTGTATGTGGCACCAAATTATCTTCTCCCCCACAATACTACTTCCCAGAGATAAAAATTCATGGGTTGGAAGGCAATTTTCTTGATTTTTTTCCATGCATACTTTTACTTTTGTTTATTTGTTTGGAGAGTTAAATACTCCTTCAAAAAGTAAACTTTTTCAATACTACAATTTTTTGTTAAGCACTGTAAGTTGCATTTAATAGCTTCCAAATACACTGCAGCAAAGTCCATAATCAATCAACACCAAAAGTAGTTGCTTCTTGTGCAATAAAACTCCCTTCAATTTATATTGCCGTACCTACTAGCTCTTATGCAAAGGGAATGGAAATT